ACCCTCTTCTCGTCTTGTACAGTTCTTTATTGTAGTTCTTACTGGGACCGAGTGCAGCAACTGCTGTCTTTGAGGCCCGCCCACGCCAAAAAAGCGTGTCTCTTTGCGCAGGTGCATTCCGCTGTCACAAACCTTGGCCTTCGGAGGTCTTGGGCTTCAGCACGGCAGCGACAACATCGCTCGCAACAGGCGCTGCAAGGGAAAGGCATGCTTGCCAACCAAAACCTTTTGTTGCTCAGCAAATTCCGCATCTCCGCGCAACACACCGTGCCGCCACCGCGCAGGCCCGTGGTGGTTTCTGAAGTCTGGAAACATGCGGACGAGTTCTGCGCTCCAGACGCTGTTCGTGAGAAAAGTGCCATTTGATCTTAGTGTTTTCGATCTGTCTCCAACTGTTGAAGTGCTTTCTATTCAGGTGAGTGACCGCACTCGTTTTGCTTTTGGCTCAAGAAAAAGATCGAGTGCTGCACGCTTTTTCACATGGTACGGACTCCTGAGGAGCTGTGAAGCGCCACGGCCTCACCTGTGCAAGGTTGGAGTTGAGAGTTCTCCCAGAACGTACCTGTGCCTGAGAAAGACCAGGACTTTGAACTGTTTGGACCAGATTCTGTTTTGTCCTCTTAGTCTGCCTGCAGCGCAAAGGTGGAAGTGTTCCAGCTGCTGTGTCTGGAACGCCTGTTCGGCCACCAGTGCCGCGGACGTCCACTTCGGGTGCGGACCAACTGCAACACACGCGTCACACGCGGCTCCAAATGTGGGGTCGAACAATCCAAGCAATTTTGGCTTCGCTTGAGTGGCCCCCCTCTGTTCTCTCATGTCTGTCACTTCCACAGGCAAGCTGTCTGTTGGAAATTCTGGTTCTTGGAGAATGATTTTTCCACACTGGATGCCTGCCTGTGGGCGGGTCGTCTTGATGTAGCAGTCTGGAACGCACGGACTTGGGCTCAAGCGGCTTGGGCCCCAGAATGAGGAATTCGCGACCCCAAAATAGGGGCCGCCAAGCGGCCCCGATTTTGGGGTCTTCTGGTTGCCAGTCAAAATATGTTAAAGGAGGTTGGCTGCATGTCGCGGCTCCTTTTCTGGGGCCGCGAGACGGCCCCATTTTTGGGGTCGCAAATTTGATTCCTGCACCCACAGCGGCTGCATCTCGTCAGCTGCGCATGTCATTGATTGTAATGACTTTGGGGAGCGTCTGGTGGAGGACCGTTTGGAAGGTCGGAACTTGTCCAAAGCAGCTGTGTGCTCGCCCTTGATGGTGCTGCAGCCAGCGGAATGCAACTGTGGAGGGCCGACCTGGCGAAGCCAGAATTGCTTGTGTTTTGCGGGCCTTAAAATGGGGTCGCCCGACAGCCCCATGGCCCCATAACTGTATAACTGTGCAGCTTTGAGATCGTACAAAGAGAAGGAAATTTTTGCAGAGGTGATGCAGAGTTATGGTATCGAGAAGGTCGGCCGGAACAGATCATACAAGAGCGGCGGAATTTTCTGGAAGGTATCTCCACGAGATCTGAACAGGACTTCTTGAGCTGTGCAGAGTTATGGTATCGAGAGGTGTGGCTGACGGTTCGGAATTTGTGCACGGTGCTTAACTCCAAAACCCCCTCATGCACGACATGGGCTCACCTAGCTCTCGCCAGATTTTTTTTGCTCTTTTAGCAGAGACCCATTTGCAACATCATTCCTTGCCTCTGCTGTTGCGTTCCCTCAAAAGAAACAGTCCGAACTGCACTTTTTGCTGTCGCACCGGAGGTTGCACCTCTCCTTCAATTTCTTTTTTCTCTTTTGAGTCAGTTCCATCGTGTAATCGGAGTCTTGGATTTGCTTCATGGTTGCGTGTCTCTTTGCGCAGGTTTATTACTGATGCAGCTGGGACGAGGGCCTACCGACCACTCACGGCTTCATTCTGTGTGGCACGACCATGTGCTCAGCACACTCCCTGCCCTTGCGAGGCCCGTTCACGGGAAGCTGGGTCGGGTGGCATGCTCTTTGGGAACGCTCTCGGTGCCTGCCTTCTATGCTGCATACAAGAGATGCCTCGCTCGGAGCCGACCTCTTGCCACGATCCAATGGACTCTGGCCTACCCTGGGTGGCATTATTGACAGCTGACAGCTTTTGCCATTGCGCGACTCAGTTTAAAGGGGGATGTGAGCGGACATAGGCTTCTCGCATTTTTGGCCGAACGATCCCGGCTCAGTCTGCAAGTCGCGGCCCGTCTCACCCTCTTCTCGTCTTGTACAGTTCTTTATTGCAGTTCAAACTGGGACCGAGTGCAGCAACTGCTGTCTTTGAGGCCCGCCCACGCCAAAAAAGCGTGTCTCTTTGCGCAGGTGCATTCCGCTGTCACAAACCTTGGCCTTCGGAGGTCTTGGGCTTCAGCGCGGCAGCGACAACATCGCTCGCAACAGGCGCTGCAAGGGAAAGGCATGCTTGCCAACCAAAACCTTTTGTTGCTCAGCAAATTCCGCATCTCCGCGCAACACACCGTGCCGCCACCGCGCAGGCCCGTGGTGGTTTCTGAAGTCTGGAAACATGCGGACGAGTTCTGCGCTCCAGACGCTGTTCGTGAGAAAAGTGCCATTTGATCTTAGTGTTTTCGATCTGTCTCCAACTGTTGAAGTGCTTTCTATTCAGGTGAGTGACCGCACTCGTTTTGCTTTTGGCTCAAGAAAAAGATCGAGTGCTGCACGCTTTTTCACATGGTACGGACTCCTGAGGAGCTGTGAAGCGCCACGGCCTCACCTGTGCAAGGTTGGAGTTGAGAGTTCTCCCAGAACGTACCTGTGCCTGAGAAAGACCAGGACTTTGAACTGTTTGGACCAGATTCTGTTTTGTCCTCTAAGTCTGCCTGCAGCGCAAAGGTGGAAGTGTTCCAGCTGCTGTGTCTGGAACGCCTGTTCGGCCACCAGTGCCGCGGACGTCCACTTCGGGTGCGGACCAACTGCAACACACGCGTCACACGCGGCTCCAAATGCGTCGCTTGAGTGGCCCCCCTCTGAAGGTCACCCTGTGCCAGGAGCCCGTGCCCTGGTGGCGCACCTCCACGTCCAACCAGAGGATGGGTGGAGGGGGGCGAGGCGGGAGGGAAAAGTGGGGCGGTGTCAGAGGAGAGAGGAGGAACCAGCTCATGGTCCGGGCTGTCCTCAACCTCCATTGGTTCCTCCTGGGAGGCCTCCTCCTCTTCATCATCCATCTCGATCGGAACCTCAGCCTCATGAGGCGAGGGAGGGCCAGCAGGTCAGGAAGCGCACCAGGTAGGAACAGCACAAGGAACTGCGCAAGCCATGGAGAGCGCGAGCAGCTCAAAGTCGAGCGACCAGGTACAGAAGGAACTTGAAGTTCTCAAGGAAGCCGCCAGTGAGCTAAGGAAGGAAGGAGAACAAAAGGACCTGATCGCAGAGTCGATCAGGAAGAACACAGAGGAAGCAGCCAAGCTTCGCAAGGCACAGGAACATGTGGCAGGGTGCGTGGTGCTCGTGCGCAAGGATTTAAATCGAGCAGCAGCGGTCGCTTTCAAGTAAGTTGTTTTTTCAAGAGGCAGAGACAGTTCTGAAGTGCATTGGGAAGCTTGCTCCATTTCTGCTGCAGACGTGTTTTTTTGTTCTTTTTCAAAAGGAATCCAGCCAAGAGTTTTTTCCAAGTCGGAGGTGGCTCGAGGCAAAGGGATTTTCCAGTTGGAGCATGCTGTTCTTTCGATGAGAGTTGTTCCAACCCGGAGCTTGTTCCAGCCAGAGTTGTTCCAGCGAAGGTTTTGTTCCAGCCACGGGTTGGTTCAGCCAAGATTCACCCGTAGACCAATTCAGCTCAGACATGGAGATCACTGTCGCTCCGTTGCGACATCGTACTATCCCGGGTTGAAATCGTGGTGCCCGTTGGCTCGGACACTTACTGGACAGGTACAGGACGTCAAGTTTCAGGTCCAGGAAATGGCTGAGCAGAACGAGAGTGAGAGAACAGAAGCCATGGACAGGATGAGGCACGTCTACGACGCCAGAAGGAGACGCAGCGACAGAGGAACAGAAAAGAAGAGACGCCCGAGAACGCTGAGAAGAAGCAGAACTAAGGTACACAGGACACGGCTTGGGAACTTGTGGACTTTTGACAACATGTACACGCCTCAATTTCCGGCTAGGTTTTGTAACCACGTGAACCTTTTCCACATGTCATGTGTCAGGAGTGCATATGGCATGGAACCGTACCGCAGGCTCTTAGCTGCTTGGAAAAGACCGTTCTTTTGTTCATGGTAGCGGAGCTGGTCTGTACCAGCTTCGGTCCACGGGGGTTGCGTTTAGGTTTCTGTGTTAGCAGGGGCCATCGATCTGTGAACCTTTAGGACTTTGTTCGGCGAAAGTAGGCGTAGCTCTGCTTGTCGCCATCTCAGCCACGGCCTGCACTTACAACTCAGTTGAAGCTGTGAAAGAGCGTGTGCGGCAACTGTACCTGGAACAGCTTTTGCAGAGACCTCGGCCAGCCGGCCGTACTGGACAAGGCTGGAGTGATATCCTTGCGGGTATACAGAAAGTTTTCCAGAATCGTTTGGATACTCTGCATAATATCCTGGACGTGCGCCGCTTTGCACTTCGAGCGCTGAGAGATACGCACCTCAGAGAGGTGTATATTACTTCTTGTGCAGAGGACGCGGCTGAGTTTGCAGTGCCTAATTCTGTGGTGGAACAGTTTGTTTTCGCAACTGAAGAGGGAGCCAATTTCGAGAGAGATCTACAATTATTTGATCAGATAACGCAATTTGCGAGTTTGCAGAAGCCCCTCGAGAACCCCATCGATTTGGAGCCCCAGGGTCGCAGAAAGTTTCGCAAGAAGCTGGGAAGTGCGACTTGCCCCGTGGAGATTGACCTTGATTGAGCCCAATACCATTTTACTTTGAACAATGGCAGCGATAGAGACAGACACCGACGAGGAGCTACCAGCGCTGGAGCCAACGCATCCAGCGAATCCCTTCAGCCCCGTAGCGGCATCCCCTGCAGCTTCAGGGGGCCTGGCCATGACAGCCTCGGACCTTCACATGTTAATGCAGCGCATGTCGGAAGCCACACAGGCAGCGAGTGCAGCAGCCCAGGCGGCTGCAACAGCATCTTCTTCTGCAGGTATGGTCGGGGCCAGACCTTTTGGGCTGGGCGACCTTTCGAAAATCATTCCGAAGCCGGAGAGCTTCAAGCCTGCTTCTCGAGAAGAGGAGTACTCTTTGTGGCCAGCATGGAGTTGGTCAATGGAGCAATACCTCGCATGCCTTGACCCAGAGTTTTCGCGTGAGCTTCTTCGTTATACAAAGCAGAGTGAACCTGTGCGTCTTGAGGATATGTCTGATCAAACAAAGGCCAGAGCGAGACTGCTATACGGTGTGCTGAACGGATTGCTCTATGATCGAGGCCGCCGCCTCCTCAGATCCGTTGTCGGTCAAAACGGGTATGAATCCTGGAGATTGCTTTCCCGAGACCTTATGCCTCAGTCTCGCAACAGAGTTCTTGCTTTGCTGCGTACAATTTCAGCATGGCCCGCATTCGATGCCAAGCAGGGCCTATCTCAGCAGCTGGTTCGACTGGAGACTGCTTTCGAGGAGTATGAACGATAGGTTCCTGGAGGCGTGCCAGAGAATCACAAGATGGCTACGCTGCTCGGTTGTTTGTCAGGACAGCTTCGCCAGCATGCAAATGTAGTCGTCACTGACGATAGCAGTTACCATGATCTGAGAGAGCTTGTGCTGCGTTGGGATGGTGCCCAGACACGTTGGTCTTCGAGTGTTGCAATGAGTTACGGTTTGCAAGAAAGTGCCAAAGGCCTGAAACAGGATACTGGAGGTGTTCAGCCCATGGAGGTTGACAGGCTTGCGAAGGGCAAACCAGATGGCAAAGGCAAGCACGGCAAAGGCAAGAACGACAAAGGCAAACAAGGCAAGGGCAAGCAATGGGACAAGAATGGCAAAGGTGGCAAGCAAGGAAAGTGGCAACAGCAAGGAGGATGGCAACAGCAACAGAGAGACTCGTGGAACAACAACAAAGGCAAGCAAGGCAAAGGCAAGCAAGACAAAGGCAAGCAGGACAAAGGCAAGCACTACAGCTACGACAATTACACTGGCAAGGGCTACGGTGGCAACCAATGGCAGGATCGTCGTGTTCAGCAGGTGCAAGACCAAACAGGTCAGCAGCAGCAGCAAGTGCAGCAGCCATAGCAAGCTCCACCTCAGCCCAGCAACGCTACAGCAGTTCCGAGTTTTAGCAGTGCCGCCAGTCAAGCTTCAACCATGTCAACTGCAGTGCGTCGAGTGTTTGCTGAGCCGTTGGTTGTGGATGTGAGCGATTTGGAGCTGCCTGGAGACTCGTGCATACGCATGCTGCAGTGCCCCGAATACAGACTCGATTCTTCTGACAACGATGATGATTGGTGCAGGGCGCCTGATCAGCCTGCATTGGTTCTGCAAACGAGCCCTCCGCCAGCTGTTCGAGCAGTGCAGTATTCATCTGATGCTACTGCACAGGCCGTTATAATCGATTCTGGCGCGGATATTTCGTGCCTTCCTCGGTGCTTTGCCTCGGCTGGAAAATATGTTCCCGCCAGGAACCTGCGAGTTCAGGATGCACAAGGTGCAACCATGGCAGTGAGCGAGGAACGCCTCGTTGACTTCATTGTCGAGAGCTCAAACTGCGGCCCAGTGGCTATCAGGGAAAGATGTATAATCGCAGATGTTACACAGCCCTTAATCAGCCTGGGTCGATTGATCAAGAGAGGATGGTTTCCATGTCGTGGAGAGCAAGGGTTTTGGCTGAATCACGAATGTTCCTCTGGGCTTTAAGGGCATGAGTCTTATGGTGCAAGCTTCAATCCGCAGAGTGAGTCAGCCGCCGCCCGAGAACGAGCACAACACAAGTGTGGCCGTCGATCTGCCGCCACGTCATGTGCGAGCTATGTTTACTGCAACGCTGAGTGAGCAAGCAGAGAAACTTCAGTTTGGTTGGCAAACCGGGTCCACAGGCCACATCATCTGGAGAGGAAAGTCCTCTATCATGATTGATCCTTCTTTGGTTGTGGTGAGTGATTGGCCTTACAGGACAACCATCATGCGCAGGTCAGATGATGAAGACTGGCTGGTGGCTGAGACATGTGTGAAGTGGGCGGATCTTGCTGATATTGAGGGCCCAATTCCCGGAGGAGGAGAAGCAGAGCTGATTGTGGTTTTGCATCCGAAGCTTGAGCAGCTCAGTGATGTGGGCATCCAGTGCTCAGATGAGGCATCTGCCTCTGTTGATATGCAGGTTGAGCCGCCTGCCTTGTATGAGGATGATGACGCTGGCGGGGCAGGTGATATCCTGTTCGATCAAGAGCCGGGTGGAGCTGAAGCAGATGAGGTTGTGCCGCAGGATCCCGAAGCGGCAGCAGTTCTTCCTGACATGGAGGAGCCAGAACAGCTACCTCCTCCTCCTCCCATCGAGGACAAGCTTGTGCTGGACGGTGTGGAGCTTACTGCACAAAGTACGATTGCTGCCCTAGCGAGTGCATGCGACAGACTTGGCTTGCGTCATTCCGGTAGCAAGCGCCGCCTCTACGAGCGCATCAAGGGGTACTTGCAAAAGCAACAGCTTTCTTTGTCTGCTGATATGACTCGTGATGCAGTTGCAAATGCATCGCGAACTCCTTCTATGCAGTCTATACCGACACCGCCTTCGAGAGCTGAACAATGCGAGCGCTTCCGGACCGAAGTGAGCGAACTGTTGATGCTCCGAGAGACATTCCCCGAGTGTCGTTTGATTTCATGTACACTGGTTATGACGAAAGCCAGAACGAAGCTGTGCACAAGCCTATTGTGGAAGGAGATGATCCCAAAGATCTGCTGTGCTGCTTGGTTTGCCATGATCAGGCAACGTCCTCCATAGCATGTATCCACACAGTCTCGCTCCGAGATAGTGGATTCTCTTGGGCCCGGACGAAGGCCCTCGCGTGGGCCGCCTTGGACCATTCTTGAAAAATGGCATGCTCTACAATTTTGCATTTTCTTCGTGTGCCCTTTTCTTGATTTCACTGAGCGACATGCATTTCCTTCCGACTGCAGTGCGCAAATCACTCTCTTGATGATTGCAGTGCGAATGCTCAAGCTGAGCAAAAATTTTGTCGGGCTCTCTAAAGTCCCCGTAAAGTGCTGTCTAAGAGGTTCCGGGTGCTAAATCCAAGGCTTCGTAGCTCCTCGCGGCCTGGGGGGGGCGTTGCATGGTGTCAAGGACGGAGCTTGAAGAGTTCAGTCGGTACATTCAGTGCTCGCTGCTCAGCTTGGTGCGTGGGGCTTCGACCGAAGCCCGCAAGGACGTCGATAGTGCTAGAGCTGACTTCCTTGACGCCTTGCAATCCTTCAGGGACGAGACTCTCGAAGCATTGACAGCTCTGCACGAGCGCGCCGACCTCTTGCTTGAGAATCAGTTTAGGCTGCAGACCCAGTTCCTGATTTTGCAACAGCGCATCACTCGGCTTGAAGGAACGCCGGAGTGCACTGACGGGCCCGATTTTCTTCATACCTTGGACTAGGACTAGGATGGAATCCCCGACAGGTGCCGTCGCACCTGCCCGTGCGAAGGCTGCAAATGATCAAGGGGGGGTTGGTGAGTTTACTTTCCCGCCTTCGCCGCCTCTAGGGGTCAGCGACCTTGCAGGCGATGCGCCCTTACCTCAGGTTTTCCCAGGCTGTGGCGAATCTTCTGCAGGCAGCTTTAGTCGTGTCAGCTTTGGCAGTGAGTGTGTTGAGAACGACCTGCACTTCCCTCCGCTTGAGTTCCCAGAAGACTGGGAAGACGATGCACCCGAAACTGCCACAGCTCGGACGCCTATGGACTCGGAGTCTGTGGAGCGGTCAAACAGGGAAGTGGCAAGTCTGATGCGAGACATTTTCGGAAGCGACGATTCTCATGTCGAGAATGTGGAATCGAGGACAGCTTCGGCCTCGGCTGCGCCCTGTGAGCAGGCGGCTTCTTCGATCCCCGATCTTGACCAGGCTATGTCGATTGCACATGCAGATGCCTCTGCAGATATTAGTTTAGCAGCTTCAGGAGAGTTTGTGTCGACCGCTGGTGTCGTTGATGATGCACTGGGTTCCTTTGTAGGAGGGCTCGTCAAGCAAGATGTTGCTAGATTCGGCAGACTCGACGATGGTCTTAAGCTTCCGTGGGAGAGTGAGTTCTCCAAGCTGCTTTTCGACCCAGATTTCGTGTGGGACCCGTTGCAAGGCCGAAAGCAGGACTCGATCTTTCCGCCCATCACGCATAATGCCCAGGCTGCCCATCGACCTCCAGCAGGACCCAAGGAGGCTCCTTCAGGTTCGATTTTCGCTTGGGCCATTGCGTTGGGTGCTGCAGCTCGCGATCCCGCCGCAGAGCGAGAGCGAAAGAGGGAGCAAGGGATCGGAATGTGGAGTAGGCTTGTGCTGAGGTATTCCGAGTGCTGCTCCCTTTATGAGTGTGTCTCTCAAGGATTGAGTGGCAGAGAAGCGGGCTATGAGGATGTTTTGGTGGCTGTCTCGGCCGCTGTGGGAGTGAAGTCACCGCACACCATTCACAAGCGTGCCGCATCCTTTTGGACCTTTGTTCGGTGGTTGGATGTCCACGAGCCCTTGGCCCCAAGCAGGCTGCATGAGGTGCAGGTGTGGAATTTTGTGCAGTTCCTCAAGGAAACTTCTGCGCCGGCCTCCAAGGCCGCTTCGGTCCTGAGTGCTTTCAGGTTCGCTCACTTCGTGCTGGGGTTCCGGTTGTCGGGAATCGTTGATTCCAAGAGGATTGCTGGAGCCACAGAACAACAGCTTGTCAATGTTCGCAAGCTTTGCCAGGCGAAAGATCTTACAGTCTCGCAGGTTCTTGAGCTGCACGCGAGGCTGGAGTCGGGAGCTTTGCATTGCTTTGACCGCGCACTCCTTGCGTCTCTGCTGATTAGGCTGTACGCTAGGGCTCGCCCGAGCGATTTCCTGTTCGTTGAATCGGTCGAGGTTGACTGCCCGCCTGGAGCAGACTGCCCACTGCTAGTGTTCGAAGTCTCCCAGCACAAGGGAGCCAGGAAGGTGCAGCTTAAGACCAAGCTCTTGCCGATCTTGGTTCCCATGATAGGGGTCCATGGAAAGTGCTGGATTGATGAAGCCTTGACCGCTTTTCGGAACGCGGGGAGAAGCCTGACTTCGGTTCGGGGTCCGCTGACCTTAGCAGGGTCGTCTCCTCGAGGAGGTCCATCGCTTCAGCTGAAGTGGGCAAGATGTTGAGAGCCTTCTTGGGTTTGCCTGAGGAGGTCACCGATCCTTCGGCCCCCAGGGTCACTGCATATTCGCTGCGAGGCACTTGCTTGGGCTGGGGAGGTAAGTTCGGGTTCGACGAGGACCTGAAAAGCATCTTGGGGAGGCATGCTTCCTCAGTCAAGACAACGCAAGCCATCTACAGCAGAGAGCTGTCGGCGGCGCCGGTGAGGCGGCTTCAGGACATGATTAGGGAGGTTGCATCGGGGAACTTCTTCCCTGATAACAGTCGCTCGAGTTACTTCCCGAGGCGAGCCGCTAGTGATGGGGCGTTCCCGTCCAAAGGAGCTGAGAAGCCCAATCCTGTCAAAGTTGAGGTGTGCACCGGCTCAACGGATATTGTCCCCGGCGTATCAAGCTGAATGGAATCTGGCATCGGTGAGTCCTGACCTCCAGCTGAGGTCGATGTGACTGACGTAACAGCGGCCCCACTGTCATCGGTCGGCACAAAACCTTCCGGAACACTTTCCGACGGTCACTTCTTTCTCTTCGGACACTCCTGAAGACCATGGTCAGGTGCAAAGCACAATGCACAGACATGCAAGCCTTTGGGGCACGGATCCTGAGTGCAGCCGCATGGCAGATTCCTGGAGAAACAAATGCGCTTCTTATCGGGAGTCTCGGCAACTCCTCCCAGCTTACGGATGGCTTCTGGCACACTGGGCTGCCAAGTGCCCTTCTTGCCCTTCCCTTTGCCCTTGGGGGGCTTCGCGATTTTGGGATCCCTCTCAACCCCGGGCTTATGTGGTGTGGCGACCCTCTTCTTGCTTTCCTCCGACTTCCGCGGAAGGAGAGCTACAGTGACGTCGAAGGTCTCAAGCGTGGGGAGCAAAGCCCGATCAACAGGGTACGTTCCATCTGCACTCCTTTTCGGACTGATTTCGTTTTCGATCATTCGCGTCCAAACCTGCCTGTCTGCCGTAAGGAGCTGGTGCACACTGGTCCTGGCATAGCCTGGCGGGGGCTCTCGCCCCATATGCCCAAAGAGTTTGAGCACATAACGTTCATGCGCCACGTAGCTGGCGACACCGGCGAACTGGAGAGCCACACCTCGGCGCTTCAGAGCCTCCTGCAATAACAAAGCTGACCCGCAGGCAACTTCGGGCAACCCTTTCTCCTCAGAAATCGCCAGCTTGCCCTCTTCCAAAGACAGGACTTTACTCTGGGCCTTGACATTTTGAATCTCATACATGCGAGTGCCACACTGCTCGGGAGCTATGTAGCGAAGCTGCCCCTCTCTCTCCATTCGACAAGCTGCATTCAAGAGCCCGTGGGAGGGCTCCAATGACCCCTCAAGCACAACACCCGGTATGCTGGCACGCACTGCTTCCATCCTCTTCTGACGCTCAACTGTCGGGACATCACGTGTAGACCACTTATCGGGCTGGGTCACCTGTTCCCTGAGGTCATTAAGCAAGAGTGCCTGACTCTCGAAAAGAAGTCGCTTGACGCTTCCTTTCTCACCCAAGAGGGCCGCCGGCATCACCGTGGAAATGAAGTCATCAAACTCATCTGCAGATTGAGGCAAAGGCGTACCCGGTTGACCGCAAGAATAAGCCAGCTTGCTCAAAGTATCGATCCCATGGTCCGCGAGCGCCCTGAGGCTTTCGCGACTGAGGCCCACCTCGGTACATCGCGACTTGAAGTGGTGCGTACTCTCTACAAGGGACGTCATGTTGAGCCCACAGTCTCAAGACGAACACACTCGAGCGCAATCAAGCAAGTAGCTAAGAATCACACATGTCATGCGAAAACCTCGACACACTCACAAAGCACTTCGCTACGAGCACCTCGCTCCCTGCTTTCTCTCCCGCACATGATACATCCATCGTTTCGCCCAAAAGCGCGCTTTGCGCGGGCCATCATACATTGCGCCGGCAGGTCCGACACTCTTTGCCTCGACTAACTTCGGCCCTCGTCGCTTCACGATAATTCCCACTTACGGGTCGCCCACATGCGAGCAGCATCGGAACATCATCGGGGCTAGCAAGCAGATGCAAGACCCCACTCGAAGTGTTCACATACCACACCTGGTCGGGCACCTCGACTTTAGCTCGCTTCCACCTGCGAACAGCAGGCTGAACCGCCTCGCTCGCAGATGACGAGGAGGAGGACTGCGATGACTGGGAAGAGTCGCTGCACTCCTTGTCTGAAGAAGCAGAGTTCCCCGCCTCAGAATCGTCGCTGCTGACCCCAGCTGAGCAATTTTGTTCACAGCTTCGGGAAGGAAAGCTTGCCGATGTTTTGCAATTGATCACCCTGCTTGAGAGTGAGACCCCAGCGAGGGGTCAAGAGGCACCAAACACTTTCTCCTGGACTTCAGGAGCATATGCCAAAGGACCGCTCAAAGGCGTCCGGAAACACACCTCAGTTTTCCCAGCTTGTACGCGCTTGTTGTGTAAGCTTGTGCTGCAAACTTTTCCAGATGCCGACTTCACTGCTGTTGCGATTTATAAGAACCTTCAGACTGCCTTGCATGTCGATGTAAACAACGAGTTGGGGTCGCAAAACTACTTGATTCCGATCACCGCATTCCAAGGTGGGGAGGTCTGGCAAAAAGGGCCTGGCAACGACATCGTGCAGGACGAGCTAGGGTTTAGCCTTTCTGGGTCCTTAGTTCGGGTTGCCGATGGGCCGTGTACCCTACCTTGGACTGGCGACCGAGTGCTGCTTGTCGCCTTCAAGCCTAATCACGCTGCAAGCTTGTCTCCGGAGTACCGCCGACGCCTGCTGCAAGCAGGGTTTCCAGAAAGTGCATTCGATTCAGCGTCGTGCTCTCAGGGCCGCGACTCTACCTGCCCGCGGGGTGTGGTCCCGGCCCACTTGGATGAACTGCCTTCTAAGCCCTGCGATAATTCTGCTTGCATCACCGATGCCGTCCCTGATCCTGTAACCTGGTGCGACCCCTTAGTCATTGAATTGTTTTCGGGGTCCGGTCGGGTGACTGCCTGTCTTAAACAGTTGGGACTGTCAGCCGTCGGGGTAGATGCTGACAAGCGCAGGTCCATCTCAACCTGCCTACAGGCCGATTTGGCCACGCCCAAAGGACAGGAGCTGTGCATGGAGTGGCTATCTTCGCTTCGATTAGCCGGCCTCTTTGTGACTCCGCCTGCTCACTTGACCGATGCTACGGGTCAGTTCTTGGCAGCAGCCTTGCTACATGTCCTCGGCCGAGGGGCTGTCTGCGTTTTGGCCCAGGCGGGCGATGGGACGTTTTGGAAATCTGACTGCTGGACCAAGGTCTCCTCCAATTTTACTTTTGTGTCGTGCCACGAATGCGCATATGAGGGCAACCACTTGAGTACAACCATTTTCGCTGTCACCGATCGTTCATTTTCGAAGCTTGCTAGGTTTTGCCCGGGCAGTCCGGGCAGCCCGTGCAGACAGGAGCGTATGTCCGAATGCCCAATGCATGGCGCCTACCCCGTGCGTCTGGCCATGCAGCTGGCTTGCTGTTTTGCTCAGCACTTCGTGCGAAAGGGCTGGCGATCGCCCCCGCAATCTTTTGATGCTTTCGATCCTCGCTTGGAAGTTCCTATGTCCCGTGCTTTGGCTGGTGCCCAGCCCCGTGCTAGCAAGATACCGCCACTAGTTAGTGAGCACCAGCGGGTCATAGTCTTGCAGCACCCTCCGGGGCTCGTGCTGCCCTGTCAGCCAATGCAACGACTCAGCAAGCCGTGGCCCGTGCCGCCACAGTGTGGTGCCACCTTGGCACACATCCCGGCAAAAGCTCAGCTGCTCCGGCACGTGCCGATAGTCCAAGATGGGGGGAAAGAACTGGTGAAAGTTGATTCCTGGGAAATGGCTTGGGGGTTACCCTGGGAGCCCGAGCAGTTCATGCGGAAAGCGTCCGAATCATGTCACCCAAGGTCGATGGGCTCTGTGCTTCCGGCCCCCTTGAATGATACTCTTGAATCCTTGGACAAGTTTGGGAGACGCCGAAGTCTCCGCTTTGAGGGCTAGGGTAATCAAGGAGTGGTTGCACTTGGCGACTTCTTTGTCATCCAATGAGGCGGAGCTGCAGGCCAGCATGCACCCTGATGTTCGTGAAATTACAGCATCCAAACGCATCCTTTTGTGGGAAGCTTTGCTTAAGAAATATGATTACCCAGACCTGTGTGTGTCGAGCCTTCTCAAGGAAGGCGTCCCGTTGGTGGGGCATGCGCCCATTTCGGGAGTCTTTAAACCAAAGTTCAAGCCCATGCAAGCCACGCCTAAGCAGGTAAGGGAGGATTCAAAAGTTTTTCGGGAAAAGGTTAAAAATTCCCTTAAGGCCCAGGATCCCGCCTTGGCAGTCGAAGTTTGCACCAAGACTGAGAAGGAGCTAGAAGCAGGATGGATCGTTGGTCCCATGTGCGAGTCCAGCTTGGGATCTTGGTTAGCCGTCGGTTTGGAATCCAGCAAGGTCAGAAGGTCAGGTGCATTGACAATTTGACTTCGTCGGGGGTGAACCTCGCAGTGCAGGCATATGAGGCTCCGCAACCTCAATCTACTGATGTGGTTGCATCCACGTGTCTTCGACTGCTGAAATCCATAAATAAGAGGGCAGGCAAAGTCTTGTTCAAAATCTTAGGCAAGGCGTTCGATCTTACTGCAGCTTACCGGCAGATGCCAGTCCACCCAGACACGGCCTGGGCAGCGTACATCTGCTTCGTGCATCCAGACACGAATGAGCGGGTATACTTTAGGATGAAAGCCATGCCCTTCGGATCGTCAATGGCAGTCTACGCCTTCCTTAGGATTAGTCATTCCTTGTGGTTCCTCGGTGCAAAGGCATTGCTCTTGCCTTGGTCGTCGTTCTTCGACGATTTCGTCACTTTTGCGACGACAGGGTGCTCTGCGTCGGCAGAGGCGTCAGTGACGGCGATGTTCAAACTCCTAGGTTGGGCGTTCGCCGAGTCCGGTGAAAAATCGAATGACTTTGCTGAGTGTTTCCAGGCGCTTGGCATCATGGTTGATTTGCATGCATGCCTTGATGGCACCATAAGCTTCAAGAACACTGCAAAGCGGGTTTCCGAGATCAAGGCGTTTGTGGGCAAAGTGCTTGAGTCAGGTAGGTTGCCGCATCACGAGGCACTCAGGCTCAGAGGCAGGTGCCAGTTTGCCGACTCGCAAATCTTCGGCCGTACTGGAAAGAAGTGTTTGGGGTTGATCACCGCGCATGCTTACGGCTTTGACGAGGTCATCAGTCGTGAACTCAGGACCTCTCTCGAGAGGTTCTTGCTTCGTCTTGAGGACGGGGCCCCGCGTCTGATCAAGATCCTTGAGGGAGGATCGTGGCATGTGTACACAGATGCTTCGTATGAACCAGGGGCAGGAAATAGTTTCTGCGGCCTAGGTGGGGTTTTAGTGGATCCTAATGGGTCACCTCGAAAATTCTTTTCCTTCGTTTTGAGCGAGGCACAGAAAAATTTTCTTGGGGAGCAGAATTCTGCCCAGATCATATTCCAGGCGGAGATGCTAGCAATGGCTGTGGCGCTAGACGTTTGGTTGGAGGACTTGACGGGGCACACGGCAATCTTCTTTGTGGATAATAACGGTGTGCGTGATGCAGCTATCTCTGCAAATGCCCGAGCATCAGTCGCTAGGAGACTTCTTGAGTCGTTTCTTCAGAAAGAGCATAGCTCAGCGATCATTCCTTGGTTCGCCAGGGTACCATCCCCTTCGAACCCGGCGGACGAACCGTCCCGGGTGGAGTGCGACAGCTTGAACTTGTTGGGGGTGCAACTCCTCAGGTCGAATGTCTCTCGGAGAATGGACAACTGCTTGAAGGACGTTCAGGGTCTTAAGTAATAGGACTAAGTTGGGGGTGAATGCTAGCAGGTCTCCTCGCTGAGGGCTGCAACTCCCTGCTGTAGTTAGGTATAGTCTTGTGCCAAAGGGCATGCACCGCGGATACGAAGATGTGCCGACCGGCACTCGCAGATCACTTACTCCCAAAGTCACCGAAGGAAAAAGTCCGACGTTCATCAGTGCTTCAGTGTGCCGTTTCGCTTAACCTTGCAGCTCAGTTCGGTGTTCCTAAACCTTTCAGCTTACTGTGCGACTAAAGTTTTGCGACCTTTAACTTTTGCAGCTGTTTGGTCCAAGTCGTTCGGCTCAAGAGAACCACACAGTCTCGCTCCGAGATAGTGGATTCTCTTGGGCCCGGACGAAGGCCCTCGCGTGGGCCGCCTTGGACCATTCTTGAAAAATGGCATGCTTTACAATTTTGCATTTTCTTCGTGTGCCCTTTTCTTGATTTCACTGAGCGACATGCATTTCCTTCCGACTGCAGTGCGCAAATCACTCTCTTGATGATTGCAGTGCGAATGCTCAAGCTGAGCAAAAATTTTGTCCCGCCCACCCGCCCGGGGTGAATGCTAGCAGGGCCCCTCGCTGAGGGCTGCAACTCCCTGCTGTAGTTAGGTATAGTCTTGTGCCAAAGGGCATGCACCGCGGATACGAAGATGTGCCGACCGGCACTCGCAGATCACTTACTCCCAAAGTCACCGAAGGAAAAAGTCCGACGTTCATCAGTGCTTCAGTGTGCCGTTTCGCTTAACCTTGCAGCTCAGTTCGGTGTTCCTAAACCTTTCAGCTTACTGTGCGACTAAAGTTTTGCGACCTTTAACTTTTGCAGCTGTTTGGTCCAAGTCGTTCGGCTCAAGAGAAACCGTGCCCCGGGAAGAGTGCTACGAGATACCTCGGTGTGGAGGTGATGCGCTTCGTGCAGAGCCTAGGGCATCCAACAGTTGAGATTTTCTGTGACAATGAGCCGACGACTATTCGGCTGCAGGATGCTATCTGTGTTGCTAGAAGCCGGTTGGGCCTAAAGACTCTGAAGAAGAATCCTCCGATTGGGAATCATCAGAGCAATGGCGCTGTGGAACGCACGGTGGACTTGGTCAGACGACTGGCTTGTACACTGTTGGATGTGGTGCGTCGTAAAACTGGTTGTTCGATCACAGTGAAGCACCCTCTGTTTGCATGGAGTTTCAGCCACGCGGCGTGGATCAGGAACCACTTCGCCGTCCAAGGCGGATTGACGCCCTATGAAAGATGCTACTCCACGGCCTACAAAGGAAAGCTCGTGCCTTTCGGAGAACCTGTCTTCGGGCAGATCGTGCCCAAGCGAAAGGGCAATGCCAGGTGGCTGAAGGCCGTCTTTGTCGGCAAAACGCGCAGCAATGATCAATACCTCATTGCAAGCAGGTCCGGCATTCGCACATGCCGGAGTGTGCGTCGCACTGGACATGAGTGGAGCCAGGACAAAGAGTTGTTCAACAATCTGACAGGACAGCCTTGGGATTACAGTTCCGGCGTCTATGAGACGCGGCTGGTGCCACCAGCCAAGAACAGAAAGCCTCAAGCCCTACCAGTTCCTGGAAGTCCTCAAGATGAAGCCGCCTCGGACCCGCCAACTCCTGTGCCTTTAGGGTTTAGGCCCCCTGAGAGTGTTGGCTTGGGTTCTAGTGCCGCCACGCCTGCTGCCATGCTTCCTCCCACGCCTGTGGGACCAGGATCGAGCCAAGATGTGCCGGGGCCCGCTGAGGTTCCGAGCAAGCGAGCTAAGTTGCACTTGTCACGGCCTCCGCCTGAGAGTGCAAGAGTTGCTGATGCACCAGTGTTGCCACATGCCGCACCTGGTGTACCTAATCCTTCTTTGAGTATTCCTTTGGGACCTCAAACCCCTGAGTCTGTTCTCGAACCAATGCCTGAGCAGCCTGATGCTGCTATGTTGCCTGCCGAGACGGCAGCAGTGGAAGAACGAGCTTCCAAGATGCCAAGAATTCGTACAGTTACTTTTGGTGATCGCAGTTATGATCTCAACGATGAAGGCTATGATGCTGACTTTGCGGAATGGGAGGATCCCGAGACCTTCCCTCAGATGTCTGATCAATGGTCGGACGATGAGGGCGCCCATGCGGCGCATGCAGAACCCGACTCGGCTTCCTTGAACGAGGCGGGGCAGCCACTTGAAGATTCGTTGTGGTTTAAGGACATGGGCCATGAACCTGTTCTTACTCCTGATGAGTTGTATGCCTTGGACAGGATTGCAGATGAAGTAGAAGTGAGCCGCTTGATCAGGAAAGAGGTTCTTCGGCCGGTCTGTGATCAAGACAATGTTCGAGCAATGAAGAGTTTATCTACTAAGATGGTACGAACATGGCGTCGCAAGCGCCGTGGCGGGGTACCGCATTTTCTCAGAAGATCCAGACTTGTGGCCAGGGAGTTCCGCTGGCTTGAAGAAAAGCAAGGATTGTTTTCACCTTCGACCACAACGAACGTGGTCAAGATCATACCGTTGCTCTTCCTGATTTGGAGAATCACTAGACTCACTAGACCCGGTGTTACCTACGCCATAGCCTCTATCGATGTAAAGAATGCGTACTTGGAAGTGCCACAGGAGGAGCCGGTGATGGCTGGACTGCCCCAAGACTACATAGGAGCCGGTAAGTTCGTGTTCCTAAAATGTGTGCCTGGTCAGCGTGATGGAGCACAGCGATGGTTCAACCATTATGTCGACTTTCTCAAGTCAAAGATGCCTCTTGAGTCGTGCGTTGAGAACCCTGCGATCATGAGAGTCCCTGAGGGACCAATGCTTATGCATGTTGATGACGGACTTACGCTTGGACCGTTGGAATGGCTCAAACAGTCGTACATTCCTACGTTGAAGACGCGGTTGGAGATTTCTGTCGAGATTGCCTACCAGTTGGGTGACACGTTTTCTTTTCTAAAGCGCAAACACACTATTTTGGAATCTGGTATTCTCATAGAGACCGGAAACCTACATCAGACACATGGCTTCCATCCTTGGTGTTAAGCACGGATCAAGTCACAACACGCCATATCTTCCCGAGCTGATTCGCGATGATCAGACAGCTGCCCTTTCTGCTGCTGATGGTTCTAAGTTCAGGAGCGCACTTGGAGTTGCATTGTATTTGTCCAACGACAGGATTGACATTTGCTACACTGTGAGACTTCTTGCAGGATTTATGGCTGGGCCTACGGCATTGGCTATGCGCGGCATGGTTCGCCTCACAAAGTATTTGATGAACACCTCGAGCTATGCTACTTTGATTGCACCAAAGCGCCCAGGATCTTCAGTGTTTCATGAATCACGTGCAGACGACGAGGAGCACTACATGGAGATCTACTCGGACTCTGACTGGAGTGGAAATAAGGTGACCCGGAAGTCCTTTGGTTGTGCGAGCTTTGCAGTGAACGGTGGAGTCTTTCACCACATATGCCGAACACATCGCACAGTTTCCTTATCTTCCGCGGAGGCAGAATGGTATGCTGGGATATCGTCTTCATGCGAAGGACTGTTCCTGCGAGCTGTTTTTACATTCATGTCACAAGAGAGTTGCAGTTTGCACCTCAAGATGGACAATTCTGCTGCCCGCCAATTGGCGTTGCGTCAAGGAGTAGGGAACAAGACGAGACACGTTGCAGGTCGCTTGTTATGGCTACAACAAGCTGTGCGTGAAGGCCTCCTGACGGTGAGCGCTATCGCCTCAGCATATAACCTCGGAGATCTTTCCACTAAGATGCATGCAGCGAATCGCTTGAAGTGCTTATTGTTTCTGCATGGTGTTGCTGATTGCGACACTGCTCTGCTCGATCAATCGGCAGTGATGAGTTCGAGGAAATGGTGATGAGGGAATCTGTTAAAGCTCAGGTGAAACGGGTGCGCATCGAGTACGCGAAGGAGCATGGATGCACGCCCCACCTTTCGGGCAATGCAAACAGGCTTGCAAAGCAGATTGCGATGATGACTCTTCTGGCTATGCCTTATGGCGTTGAAGCTGCGGATGATGGTGGTGGCCACTTTACGCCACGTGTGACTTCGATGTGGATTGCAACTTTCGGATGTATGCTTCTGCTGTTGTATCGAGCCTTGAGCTGGTTGCGGAATCAGGGCTGCGACTTCAACATGTTGGTCGAGCTCACAACGGCGGATGTCGGATCGAGCATGCTTACTGCGATGCTTGTTGCATTCTCAATGATCCCTGAGATGACCGCTGAGCAGTGGATGATCGTGCTGCTCATTTACATCATCATGCAGCAGCGCCGTGGACCTGAGTCGAGTGTGAAGTTTTCTGCTGCGCATACACGTGTGAGTGCCACTGAGAGTGCTGTAAAGCCGTCTACTGCGAGTAGTTCTGAGAGTGCAAGCGCTGGCATCCCAAGTGAAGTTGTGTACTACTGCTCCGTGAACGGTAATTGCTATCGCAAGGAAGGGTGCCATGTTCTTCGTACGGTGCATTCGAAGATTCGGAAGTATCGTCCATGTGTATATTGCGCCGATGCGGACCACAAAGGTTAAAGCATCGTGTACTGTTTGAACAAAAGCCGGATGAGCTTTGCATAGTGCTACAGCTCAGGCGGGGTGTGGACTTTTGACAACATGTACACGCCTCAATTTCCGGCTAGGTTTTGTAACCACGTGAACCTTTTCCACATGTCATGTGTCAGGAGTGCATATGACATGGAACCGTACCGCAGGCTCTTAGCTGCTTGGAAAAGACCGTTCTTTTGTTCAGAACTACTTCGAGAGCTACGTTACCTACCTCCACGCCAAGGAAGGAAAAGAGAAAGGAAGGTGAAGGAACAGCAGAGGACTTGGAGAACTGGTCAGCCTACTTCGACAAGATCCTGAAAGAGACCAGGAAGAAGAGGACTACGGTGAGAACGAGAACGAGCGCTACACGCAAAGCTACGTTGGAGGAGATCCCGGGGAGTACCCCGATGGAGGCAAGGAACAAGAAGAGGAAGAAGAGGAGAAAGAGGAAGAAGAGCGAGGAGAAGCAAAAGCAGAGGAAGACGAGGAAGCACAGGAAGAAGAAAGGAAAAGGAAGATCAGAGAGATCAACGCCAGAAGCAAGGAAAAGCTCGAGGAGAAGAAGAAGGAAGAGGACCTCTTTCCGTACCCCTACGACTACTGCAGCGAGTGGAAAGAGTACACTGAGAACGGCGAGATCTACAAGGAACACAGAGTTACAGGAGAAAAGCTTTGGGTTGACAAGGACCACAAGTACAAGCACGAGAAAGGAACAAAAGGAAAGGAGAAAGGAAGCAAGAAGCAAGGCAAAGGAAGAGGAAAGCCAACGGCAGAGGAACCAGGATTCCAACCACGAGACGAAGATGATCGCAGATACTGGGAAGAACAGGACAGGATTTCAAAAGAGCAGCAGGCAGCAAAAGCGGCAGCAGAAGAGGAAAGAAAGGCACAGGAAGAGAAGATCGCCAAAGCAAGAAGAGTGTTAGAGGAAGCAGCAGAAGGCCAGGAAAGGAGAGACAAAGCAGAAGCAGAAGCAGCAGCCGCAGCAGCAGCCCAGCGAAGGCGAGAAGAGGAAGAAGCAGCAAAGGCCAAAGCAGAGAAGGAGAGAGCAGAGGAAGAAGAAGCAGCCGCAGCAGCAGCCAAAGAGGAGAAGGAAAAGAAGGAGCAAGAGAAGAAAAGAAAGGAGAAGGAGGCAAGGAAGAAGAGAGAGCATGACCAAAGGGAGTCATCATCGTACATTGCAAGGAAGGAAGCAGAAAGGTCAGCAACAGCAGCAAGAGCAGCAGAAGTGGAGAAGGCACTTGAAGAAGGAGACAGGATCCAGAAGCTGGAAAGAATGATGGAGAACATGATGAAGGAACGCAAGGAGGATAATGAAAGGATTGCAAGCCTTACGCAGGAACTCGAAGGCAGAGGATCGGCAGCCGGGTCGCAGGCACCCACGGAACCAGACACAACACCAGCAAAGGAGCCAGCCAAGGAGCCAACAAAAGGAGAAGGAAAAGGAATAGGAAAAGAAGCAGGAAAGGAACCGCCAAAGGTAACACAGCAGCAGCAGAAGAAGGAAGGAAAGCACGACAAGGAACTTCGCGCCAAAGGACCTGTGAACGAAAGTTCGTTCCAGAAAGGAAAAGGACGTGGAGAGTTTGAAGGAAACTGGTTTGCAGTCTACAGTTTCAAGTGGAACGAAGAGAAGACCCAGTGGTACTGGTATTCAGGATCAAAGGAAACAGGTTGGCGCATCGCGTCAAAAGATGCCAAAAGAAAAGAGAAGTTTCAGTCACAGGCAAAGCAGCTTGAAGAGTACCTCAAGGAGCAAGTCGAGAATCTCAAGGAAGACAACAAAGAGGACGAAGAAGAAGAGGAAGAAGAAGAGCAGGAAGACCAAAGCAAAGGAAAGCCAAACTTTCAGTGAGGCTAGACGGCTAGACGGCTAGAACGCCGAGGAAGTGAGGCCAGAGAGCCGAGGAGAGAGCAGCAACACAGGAACCGTGGCACAGCCCTTTTTGTTTCTGTGGTGATCTAAGTAAGTGCAGGAACACTTTTGTACAGTCTAGCAACCTTGGAGAGGATTGCGAGTGAACGGCAACGTTTGCGAAGAGGAACAGCGTTTGTTTTGTAGTGAAAAGGAACTGCAGCGTGTTTACTGTTTGTCAAGGAAAGTCGGAGTCACCTCAGCCGAGGAACTTTCGCTAACTCCGAAGGCGGGGTGTTAAACATTCTGCCAGGAACAGTAACACAGCTAGTGCAGTGTAGTTAATGTACAGGAACAGCCGGACTCACGCCCGTGACGTGCAGGCTCGAGACCCAGCGGACACCGCGACCCACAAGGAAAAGTGACCGCTTCAGTTTGAGAGTACGAACAGTAGTGAAGCCCTTCTCCTTTTGTGCCAGTTACCTTTGTGCGCACCTGGCCTCATGAGTAGACGGGCAAGATGCTGTGAGAGTATCTGATTACCAGGAACATAGCCGGCTTCGATGTAAAAAGGAAGACCAGCGACTTTGCATTGCTGCCCCGATGGGGCCTGTTTGTGTGATCCTGCTGTACATGCGAGATGTTCTGCTTCACTTTTTTAAGGCTCTGACTTTTTTGATTTGTGTTTGATGGTTTTTGTTTTTGTTTTTCCTTTTTCAGTTTTTATCTTGCAGGGGGCACGGCGCCACAGTTCGAGCCGTGCCAACGAAGTTGAGAACTGTGGTGGATGCACTCAAGGACGCGTGAGTGTGTACCTGCAAATGAAACGGTGGGCCCCTTGTGGCACCAGATTAGTTTTTTCTTTTTGTTTTTTTTCTGACGAAACGAGGTGTTCAGGCAGTGATGAGCGAGTCGCATGGTTTTCATTGTGAACTGCATGGTTGCCGTAATCTGAATGAAGCCTTGAAATCATGCAACTTAATCAACAGTGGTCGGCTGATTACACAGCCAGCAAAACGAGGCGTTCGTAACATGTATTTCTCCAGTTGTGCAGGACTTGGAGCCCGGAGCCTTTTCCTCGATTCTAGATCTTACAACGTGGTCAAAGCCTGGTAGTTGCCTTCACGAAGATAAAACGTGAAGGTGGTTGATTTGTTTCACTTCTCGGCCTCAGCCTTTAGTCGAACTCGGCTTGTGCTCGATGTCGTCGAAGGGTGCACGGTGGGAAGAGTCGGTTGCTCCGACAAGAACGTTCCTAGAGCATCCGATAGCCGAGAGCATCGTTGCTGCTGTTTGACACGCACCAATTCCCAATGTAGTCTTAGCGCCGTTAACAGCAACACAGAGACCGGGGCGCCCCCAAGATTGCCAAACAACTGTCTGCTCGTTGCCCGTAGGATCCGGCCCATTCGGAAGTGTGAGTTGTGTATGGAGTGGGAGTCTGCGCAGTTGTGATTCTGTTGTCATTAATTGAGCTTCTGCATTGTGCTCGAGATAGTTGAGCTTTCTCACTGTGCTTGATGTGTTTCTCGTGGCTTCCTGCCATTGCGCTTGCCGAATGGCTGTCTGCTGTCTTCTCTTTTTACTGGTTGTGTTTTATCTCTTTTGGGATCTACCTCTGCATTGCGGTCTTTGCATGTGGAAGCCGACTCTTGACTCTCGCTTTCGCTGAAAATATGTTCTGCTCAAGCCTGTATGACAATCACGAGCATTATTTTCGAAATGCGGTGCCAGTTTTCCTTTGAAGACCTTACGCTTTCCCGCAGAATCATAGTCCTGCCATCGAGGCCGCGATGCTTGGGACACCAATTTTCTTCGGGTCAGCACCGTCCCTTGGAAACTGTTGGCACCACCGCAGGCCGAAGTGGCTTCTCAGCAGACTTGCCGGCCAGGTTTTTCCGAGCGCTGGAGGCTACTTGCACAGTCACGTGATGTAGTTCATGGCAGCGTCAAACCCAAGCTTTTCAATCAGAATGCAGATTGTAGTCTTGCATGTCACCAATTCCGGCATCCTCACATCTTGGCGGGTCACGTCCTGTGCCAGGCATGGGGACGTGCTGTGGGTGCTGCATAACATGTCCTTTATTTTCCCGTAGAGCATGGTCTTGACACAGTGTTTCGTGGGTCTTCCAGCGTGGCCCCACATTATGGTTACACCCAGACAAGTGTGTTCATACATGCAGGCCACCTCCCCGAACCCAGTGACGAGCCACTTGCCTGCAAGGCTTCCGAGGATGCCAATGCCAAGCGAATGGTGAAGGTGCCAACAGCTGACAGAGCTCACCGTTGTGCCTCGACCGTCCGTCTTCTTGCAGGTGTGCCGCAGCACTTTCGGACGTTGCTATCCAGATAGTGAGGATGTTGTGCATGCAGTGGTGAAGAAAAGTGGTGACACGGCAGTCAAGCTTTGCTGGGCCTTTCTCGTCTCCGCCTCTGCATGTTTGACTCTGTGAATGCATACGTTGCTGGGGCGGCCAGGACACCCTGGATCTTCCTCGCTCGTCTGTCAGCGTTTGTGTCAGTCTGACAACTTTCGCAACCATTGTAATCTTTAGGTCCGAAATAGAAGCCAGCTAGCGTACGAAAGAGGTGGTGAAGCCAGGGGTTTTGCTATGGAGCAGGACTTGATTTGCAAGTGCAGACAGCATGGAGGTACATCGAAGGAGCTTTCAAGGATCGTTTACAATGCAAGACCGTTGAGGCAAGTGCAGTTCCCAGGCCTTCTCGATATACTTTTCGTGTTCTCTTAGAAGTTTTAGAAGTTTGTCTATTCTGGGAATCCCTTCCTGCTTGATGCATTTCCGTGTGCGTAAGTCTGTGCATCATGTGTGCGATCATAGATATTGGCGAAGTACACTACTGGAAGGATGGAGGTGCAACACGCTTCACGTGTCATGCATCGGTGGGTTGGCCACAGTCGACGTGCGCACCCACCCTAGTTGGTGGTTTTAGGACAGTGGTTTCTTTGTCGTACGGACAATGCGCCCTATCATTCTACTGGCTGTTCAACTGCTCTGGGGCGATATTGTCTGTCAAGTCTTTCCACGTTTGCATCCGGCTGCAAGCTCGTTCTTGTCTTCGACTGTCCGGCATTCAACAACCCCTTCATGCTCACCTGTTGGACCGTAGGTCTATTCCGTCTCACAGTGTTTGACATGCTTTGCCGACCATGCGCCGTCAGGATGCTGCACTCTATCTCGAGGGCATTCTCAAAGCCACAGCCGTGCAATGAAGTTGTTCGACCGTGCGATCTGATGATGATGTTACGAAGCAGTCAGTCCAATTGGCCATGTCCTTGACTTACAGTGTTCGATTTGGCCGGACTTACTACGGAGGCCGCTTGCCAAACAGAAAGGTTTGGTACAGATCAGGCCTAGGTTCAACCTGTCACGGCTGACTGCTGGTTGTTGGAGAACGGCTGATGATGGTGACCGATGCGCAGCTTCAAGCCTGCAAGTCCCACGTGCTTGGTGGTAGGTAGTGCGTCTCGGTTCATGCTTGGATCACTGTGATCGTCCGCTAGTGTTGGCCGGACACAGCCTCTCCCGTCGGTGTCAAGACCTCCACTGCCATGACGTTCGCACCGCGATGCGCTGCACTGCCTGTCGTAAGACGGCAGACATTTCGCGGCTGCTCTCTGACAGAGGACGACATGTTTCGCACAGATATTATCGAGCACCGGGCACAACTTCAAAGAGGCTCGCGGATGTTGGTTTTTAGAGCAGTCTGCATTTTCTATACCGATCAATTCTCTGTCCTTCATGGATTGAGGGTGAAAGCGTCAAGGTTCGTGGCCTTGCCTCAGCCGCCAACGAGCCCATGTAAAGATTCGGGATATTGGAGTTCTTTCTGTTGTGCATGGAACGAGGCTGGGTGGCGACATGTTTTCCCATTCGAGATAAGAGCCCGCCCACACATTTGGCAGGTCTTGGCACGAAGGCCGCTGGCAATGGCGACACAAATGCAAACAGAGCTGAGACGGCCTTCAACGACAGGTGCATCCTGTTACCATGCAGCTCCCCACCAAGGTTGTGTTCTTCAATGCCACCAGCACGATGACATGGTTGACTGCCTTGACTCTTTTGTCGTCGAGTGCTGAGATTCAAACAGCTTTGGCAGCTCCTGACTATGCTGCTCTCTGGCGGCATCATCTGAGTTGGCTCTTGGCAATACCATTCTTTGCTATACTCCTGTGGATTGGCATTCGGAGCAATTCTTGCGAACTCGCTGGCTCGTGTCCTGCTGCAGCATCCGCAACAATCTAGAGTCGCATGGAACAGGTGTTAGCCAACTAGGCTCAGATTTGCGACTTTGGTCAGAGCATTTTCAATGTTTCAGCTTTCCCCAGATGCCCGCCTCTTGCAGTGCCAGGTGACACACGCGCAAACTCGACAACCCTTGCCCATTTTCTTGTGGTATTTGATACATGGTAACAGACAACTGCATGAAGGAAATTTGCGAAGAGTCGCATGCAGCGCTTGGAAGCAGTTAGGAAGGGTGTGCTTTAAACAAAATTGAAGATGCCTTAGGAATTGGTGCCTTCTCCCAACGGACCAGCTCCACGAGTTTTCAGTCAAGCTCAAGCGCGAGCTTTCAGACTCCCAAGGGAGAGTTTAGCGAGGCTTGGGCATTTTTGAACCATTGTGGCAGCAGCCGAGGTAGGATGGCTCACTATGCGCTCCACATTCAAACTACGGCAGCCGCTGAACTTTGCCTTGGCAGCGGCAGCGTCCAAACGGATGCCTAGCCTGTCTTTGCTCAAGGCTTGCTAGCATTTTGCGAGTCTTTGCCACGCTGTCGCTGTAAGCCACTACACGCATTTACAACCGATTTTCATATCGCTTTGTGTCCAGGTGTCGCCGCTGTTGACCGTAGCTTGTCTGAGATATGCTGCAAGTATAGATTGTTCTTATGCAATCTCATGATACCAGGTTGGCAGATGGGTCAGGTTCAGCCTTATGACTTCTGACTGTCAAGGGTTTAAGTGGGAATCTTTTGGCTTGCTTCTAAGGCAGTGGCTGCTGATCCGGATTCTAGAAACTCGATGATGTCTGTGTGCGCAGCAGTCTTCAGATGGCGCTGGCTAGGAGTCCGTGGACGTGCCATGCTTCGAAGGCTTCTGACTGGTGCTGGGCGGTTGCTCCGACTGGCAGAAGGCCCTCTGGACAAATGTGGATTTGCCTATTTCCTCAGCGCGAAGTTTACGAATCTTTGCACCGTCGCTCTGGCAACCGAGATTTGGCTGCAACAGCACGACTGTGCATAAACCAGAAGCATTCAGAATTCATTAAGATTATGCAGCATGTGTGATGCAAAGCATTTGGTTTCAGCTGCTTTGCGGTCTAATCTTGTTGAGCCTTTTTTGTTCGGGATTGTTTGTGTTGGCCTGCGCGTCTGCTCCAAATATGCTGGCAAATATGGGACTGCTGAGGATCATTCCTCTTGTCTTCAACCCCCCCTTTTATGTTTCACCCTGGCAGTGCTGGTTGTTTCTTCCTCCCCTACGCATGTCAATGTAATGCTCGCTTTTGGTTACACGTTGACCGGCGCACTGCTGGTGCACCAGATGGGCACCTGAGGTTGCATCAATGCAGTATGCAGACTTGCACAGTCGACTAGCGGCCTGGGGCGTCTCTGGTGACCTGCAAAAGGCTTCGTGGACTGCACTCATGTTGAGAATGGTCTGTTTGGATTGTGGTAGAGAGGCTGGCGGGCAGGCAGGCAGGTGGGGAGGCTGATCGGCCGGAGTGTACTGTGATGTAAGACAGGGACATACACCCATTCTTTTGCGTGACTTGCAGTATGCTGTCTCGGACACCAGAAGTACCCGCTTGTCTGTAGTTCAAGATCCGACTCTGCTTACGCAGTCGGCTTGGGCTCGAATCCAAAAAGCGAGCTACGTTACCTGTTTTGTTTCAGGAATGTTTTCGGAGCTTGCGAATCTCTACACGTGACATGCATACATGCCTTCGTGTAGCCTGGCTCTAGCACTTGCAGTTCTCGAAAAGCGAGATTAGCCGTAACTACTGCCCAAGTAGTTCGTTCTTTCCTTAGCGCGACGCCATGTTGCCTGTGTCCATAGTTGTGCCCATCACACAACTAGCCTTCGAGCCTGGCTCGCCCAGGCCTTTGCCTCCGCGGTGGATTCGTCCCCCGGACTTTGCCTTTTGCCTCCCACGATTGGGACTGGTATATGGTCACCTTCACAGAATGTTTTGCCTTGGCCCCGCACGAAGGCCAGCCTTTAGAGCCTTGCCTCCAGGAGTGCCTTTTCTCATGGACCGTTTGCCCTCGTATACTAGCCTGCCTTCATGTCCATGAGTGGTTGCCGCTGGTTCTTGCCAATGATGAGTGCCATCAGCTCATGTTCGACATGCTGTTCTAGTGTTTCGGGCACCCAGGTACTCGTCGGGAGCTGAGCCTTACATGCTTCCTCTTATGTCAGTGCCTAGCCAGGATATGTACTTCGTGCCTTTGCGCATTTTGCCTTAGGAATGGAATTTGCCAGGCCTTTTTGATGCCTTGCCCTTGCCCGGAGTCATGGGCCAGACCTGTGGCTCTCGCTTCCAGGATATGCTGCTCTCAGGCACAATCGGCCCTCGTATTCTCCTTCTTGCAGGCGGGCCCTCGTGGCTGCCTTTAACTCTAGCCTTGCTGTGCCAAGAGACTCATGAGTACCTGGTTTCCCACCTAGATGTCACTGACTGATCGTCCTGCCCAGGCCAAGCAGCCAGTGCCCTAGATGCCTTCTGCTGGTTCCACGTGGCTCGGCCCTGAGCCTATCGAGCCTGACTGTGAGCCTTCGCCTGGAGCCTCTCATGCAGCAGCCGCACCCTCTGCTGTGCCCCCTCCCCAGCCTGAGCCGGACCATGCAGTTTTGCTTTTAGGGGGAGGCTACATCAGCTACGACTTTCTGCCCCCAGCCTACTTTGAGAGGTTTAATTTCTCCCCCCAGGGGACAGACCAAGCCAGCCATGCTTCGGGTAGCCTTTGGATTGCACCACGACTCCCACCTCGACCTTTCAAGTTTCCAGCCTAGACTCTGCCGTGCCTGGCCTCAGAAATCGCAACCCCCCGCTTTGGAAGCCCTTTCAGGTCCCCTTGCTCTGGATCATGCAGCCGCCTCTGCATCGCCATCTATGGTTCTCTACTAAAGGATTGCGCGAGCCCTTTCTAGGATGGAGCCTCGAAGGCATGCTTTTCGGTGTGGTTCCCTGTGCCTACATTCTCCTCTTTTCGGGCTCCCGTCAAGAGGTTGCCGCCCTCTGCTTTTTGAACAAAGCCTGCCATGACTACATTGCCGAGCGGGTTACCAAGGCCCGCGGATGAAGGGGCCATGCTAGCCTCGATCTCTGGCCCTCGGGCCCTGTGCCCTTGCCGCCTTGCATCGCCGAGGACGCTGCAGCCTCAGCCAGCCGATGCCTTCTAGGACCCCTGTTTGGCCCAGCCGCCACTTGAAACCCTCTATGAGCTCTTTTTTGGAACTAGCTCTATTGCTGCGTTCAGCCCCCAGGCTTCTTTGAGCCCCGGCCCTTGCCTCGGCATCCTAAGCCCTTCACGCCTGTGCCAAAATGATGGTTAGGGCGGCCTTCGATGCCCTTCTTGCTTCCAGACCAAGCCTTGCTTTGCCCCTTCAGGTTCGGCTCCCTTCGCCTCGGCTTCAGCAGAGCCGAACTTTAGCCCATCCTCAGTAGGCAATCAGCCAGACTCAGCCGACTTTTCAGGTTCTTGACGGCTCGACCTCTGCCTTCTCGGGCAGTCCGGGCCCATGCACCCGGCACAGTGCTTAGCCCGCACTTCCTTCTGCAGTGTCCTGGCTTAAGCAGCATGCGCGCAAATCAGCAGCCCCGGCGTCAGGACCGGCGCGCTCAGCGCAGCCCATGGCCTTCTTATGCCAACAGCCCTGCTCTCCAATGGAATCAGGGTCAGCCTACCACCAACGTCTCCAACCTCTCAGCCATGGGCCGTATGAATGCGGGTTTCACTGAACCGCTAGCCTTTGACCCGGATACAAGCGCAGCCTACGAGCCCTTGCAGCCTCAGCCTTCCTCCCACCGAGGACATCACATTGCAGTCCTTGGCCGATAGCCTTCGTGCCATGGAGGCCCGCCTGGGCATCCTCGAGGCAGAGCGGAGAGGGGCACAACAAGCCCTTTGGCACCATAGCCGCAGAGCCCACGAACAGCCGCGCCTTCGCAGCCTTCTCTCGCCTTGGGTGTTTATTAGCGCCAAGATCGATGCAGTCAAGATTCGCCTTGCAAACCTATACTAGGTTGGCGGGCCTTCTTCTTACCCTGCAGCAAGTCTTTCCTCCGATAGCTTGCCATTGTCAGGGGCCTTCGGCCTTGTTGGACTCCGAAGGAGATCCAGAAGCCTAGCCTTGCCACTTCGCCTTCTGAAAAAGGACCACTGCTCACAGATGGCCCGAGCCTTCCAAAATTGCCCTCATGACTCGCAGCCAAGGTCGGACGATCTTCAGGCCAGGTTGCCCTTCTACTTGTTCCCTCGCTTGCTCCGTCGGCCAGGTACCGCAGTCTACCTGAGGACGCCAGCTTCTTGTGCGTTCTGCAGTCGGTTCTTCTGCTTGCCTCACGTCAAACCCCGCAGCTGGACGCTTCAGTGCCGCCTATGGGAGGTTCGCTAGCTTCTACAGCCATGGCCTCCGACAGGGATCCTTTGAAAGACTGGATTAAGACCTTGTCTCCAGCAGACCTTCAGCACCTTCAAGAAGCCCATACAGCCTCAGTGCAAACAGCAGCTGCCACAGCCGTGTCAGCCGATACTCGGCCTTCGGATAGCTCTTACGGACTTTCCCCTCGTAGCCTTCTTATTTACCAGAATCAGGAAGCCTACTATCACGCCCAGGATGGTTGCTATACAGGTCCTATTCCAAATTGCTTTGCCTATATGCCGCCTCAGGATCCAGACGACCTTGACGACACCGACCGCGCTCAGGCCTCTGAGCCCTCAGCTGCTGCTGCTGCCACGGAGCCTACGGCAGTCACTGAACAGCCAGCCTCTTCAGCCACAGCCTACCACTCGCCTCCCCAGCAAGGGCTCTACACAATGCTGGGAAAGCTTATTTCTAAGGAGCCTTTCCCACTTCTTTATTTTGATGCAGATGCGACAACCAAGCCAATCAACAGACACGAACTCTGGCAAATTATGAAGCGGCCCGAGCTCGGAGTTGCCAAAGAAGGTGGAGCCTATATGCCAGCCAACAGCTTTGAGCTTAGCCCGCCTTCGGGTTTTTCCCCTCCTTTCCTACCGCGCCCTTGGCTCAGGCCAAAGCCGACCCACCGCCTGTCAAAGCCGCGCCGGTCGCAGGCATCCCACCCCCCACCACAGGCCAAGCCGTCACAGACGCCGTCCAAGGACCGTACAGCAGAAGCGCCCTCCGGAATTCTCCCAGCACCCAGCCGAGCAGCAGTTCTTTTCGGAGTCTGCCAAGTCCCAGCCCTCCGAGCCCAAGCAGGTGCCACAGATGCCACAGGAGCTCCAGCAGCCCAGCCCCGCACTCAGCCCTTCACTCCCAAATCAGGGAGCAGAATCGCCCACCTCAGCCTTTCGGGTTAGACTGCAGGACGTGGATCAACAACTTCTTTGGTGGAGCCCCGCCTTCTACAGCCGTGGAAATCGACCATGACACGTGCTTTTACACGATGGAGCCTTCTACCGCAGCCGCCTGCGTGCTGACCCAGCCTCAGGACCTAGCCACGCCAGCCCCTGAGGACACAGTCCCGGAGCCAGCCTTTCAAGAGGGAGACTTCGCGCCATGTGACCCTCTTCCGCCTTGGTCGGTTCTCTGCCGACTCGTTACTGGCACTACAAGGCTCCCGGTAAGAACAACCCGCGCCAGATGGCAGCAGATCCCGCCTATGTTTCTCCAGAACCCCAAGAAGCTCCCTGAGTCCTTGTTCGACGTGTGCAAGAACAAGTCCATCCCGCCGCCGGACAAGCCCTATGCCTATAAGGAGCCAGCCTTGGCATTGCCTCGATTGCCTTGTCCCAACATGAGGAACTGTATCATCCTCGCTAGCTTACTCTGCCTCATACATATGAGTTGGACCCAGCCTTCGCGCGTGCGTATTACATGGGCAGCCAGGGTGAGATGAGGTGCCTTTTGCCAGCCATGTTCAACAGTCCCTTTTTGTCCTTTCCACTCGGCGTGCGGCAGGGAACTCAAACAGGGTACCTGTGAGCAAGCCGACCAGCGCAAGGGCCACCAGTGCTCCCGCTGCAAGGAGTTTACTGATGTCGGCCGCAGCCCTTTCGAGTGGTTCGATGCCGTGCCTTCACAAGCCTCCACAGCCTTGCCTTAAGCCCTGCCATGAGCCTTGCCCTCGCCCTCTCCGCCCTCAGAGCTGCCAATATGTAGGCCCTCAGAGCCAAAGTGTCATGACCACGCCTTTCTAGGAGGCTTGTGGCTGGAGCTGCATCGCGAGTACCGACGGCCGTTTGCGGGCCAAAAAAAGGGAGAAGCCGACTGCCAGCCTTGCTTGCCTCTCGGAGCGCACTTCTGCCCCTTGCACATGTTGCAGGACCCTACAGCCGCTGCACTCTCAGCGTGATTTCTTTGTGCGCTTTCACAGCCCAGCCTGCCACGCCCGGATGTGGAGTCAGTCTGAGCCTCAGCCTTATCAAAGTATGTCTTCCAGTACGTCTCTGTAGTACAGCCGCCCCGTCCACAGTGTCCACAGCGATCGGCAGCGGACAAGCAGATCCTTGCCAGCCCCTCTCTGGACTCTGTCCGGCCTTCTGCGCCCCGACGACTTCACAGCCCTTTCACAGCCTACACGGAGCCGAAGCCCAAGCCGCGACAATCCCAGAACGCCTTCACAGGATTCAGTGATCATAGTCAGGAGGTTTCGGAAGCCTTAGATTCAACAGTCAGCCCTATACCTGCAGTGCCAAACACAGATGTGCTACTGCCGCTTCAGACGGCTCCCAAAGCTGTTGCAGGCCTTCAGCCGCCGACGCTGGACCAAGGAATACGCCCGGTCCCGCCCTTCTCAGTGCGCAGCCTTATCGCCCCGCCGTCGTTATTGCTCAGGAGTCTCCGGCCCGCCCTCGTTTCCCGCAGCCCAGATGGCACGCGGGACTTTGGGGCCCAGCGCTCCCTTCTACAGGCCCCTGTCTCGTCCTCTGCCAAGGAAGGCGAGAGCCCTCGAGCGCTGGAAGGAACTTCTCTGCTTGCTCGGCGACTCAGCCGACCTGTGCTGCAGCCTTTAGAAAGCCAAGTACTCACAACAGCTCCACAGCCAGAGCATACTGCCTTTCACAGCCGGCATGTTGAGACCTACCTCTCTGCTTGCAGACAGTTCATGGAATACCTCGTACGCAAGAGCCTTGACATCACGACTCTTTCAGTAGCCAACCTAGGAGATCTGCTCTGGGCCTGCCATTCAAGCTTTGAAGAAGACCGTGAGGTCTGCCGCACTGGGCCTAAGCCGATGCTGAAGGCCGTAGCATGGCTTGCCAAAACGGCGGGCCTGCCACAGCTAGCCTCCGTCCTTTCAGACCGACTGATTCGGTCCTTCGCTGCTCAGGCTGACACCGACCGCCGAGAAGCCCTGCCTCTGCCTCTGGCAGTGGTCGTTGCTTGGGAGCGGCGCATATGCCAGCAGGATTGCCCTCTTGAGTTATGCCTTCTACTCGGAGGCTTTCTCCTCGCACTATACACGGAGGCCTTCGCTTCGGGGACCTTCAGCGGATCAGCCTCAAAAGCCTTTCTACGCGCGGTTTGCTGGCATACCAAAACCACTAAACGCGGCCCAGCCCTTCGCAGTGGGCCTTCACGGGATCTCAGGGAGAGATCCCGATAGCCTTTGGGTGCTGCCATTCCTCCGAGCCGTTCAGGCTGCTTGGGAGTGCACAGAGTCTACCTACGGCTCGCAAACCTGCCCCGACTTCATCCTGCCTACTTTGCACAATCTCGCGGGTTTCCCGGGGAAGCCTACCACTGCCTACCACCAGCCCATGTCCGACAGCCAGTCACTGGGGTGCCTCAGGTATTTCATGTGCCGTCGACCTCAGCGTTCACCATGCGCAGCCGTAAGGTTTGCCTTCTCAGTGCCGGCCACCATAAGAACCCGAGTGTCCAACTCTATGGCAGAGATGACACGCTTGGAGCCTTAGCGTCAGACGGAGGTCACTCAGGCGTGTGCCTCCGGCTACTCGCGCGAGGCCGAGCTCGAAGCCGACTTGCCAATCGCCCAGCAGCCTTCGTCATCAGCCCGGCCTTCCGATGTCGACAAAGCCTTTGCAGCCGACACCCAAGATACTCCTATGGGGGACGAGCTCCCGCCTACTATCCCAGCTGATGACATCGAGGCCTTGCTCGTCGAAAGCTACGCGGGTCTCCAAGATGACTCGTCCGACTCCGACTCACAAGCGCTTCCGGGCACCATGGCCAGCATTAGCCTTTTCCAAAATGGACCCTGGAGGTCAGTGCGCGCTCAGACGTCGGGCTCTGAAAAGGCAGCCTGTGGGACCTTACGCACCATAGCAGCGTTTTGTCCCACTTGCCCCAAAGTCGCCTTTTTCTGCCGCAGAGCGGCATGCCGACGACTGCTGGAAGCCTTGCCGGGATAAAAAAGCCGGCGCCTCGCCTACTTCAGCACTCCGAAGGTGTCGCACTCAGCCTTCCTGCAAACCCACAGGGTACATGAAGTAGTCTGCAACGGCCTCGCCCTCAAGGGGCTGGAGACTGTAGAGGACCTAGCCTTTGAGTACCCAAACCTAGCTTTGACACCATCCTTCTCTCAGAGTCAGACCTCAGCGACATGGGGGTCTCAGACGCCCTACACTCCGTCCAGGCGGCCAGAGCCAGGAAAGCCCTAAGAGCCGCCCACCAATCTCAGGACAGCCATCTGCCTTCACCGCCTCCGCCTTCCTTGCCTGCAGCCCTAGTCCCGTCGGCTTCGCCTTCGTCCTGGATGGAGCACCTCCCCCCGAAGCTCAGTTCGGAGGTGGTGCAAGATCTCGTCGCGACATTCAAGGCCAATTACCCGGGTGAGCTCCTCGATGACGAGACCATGCCTTCAATACGCCTCCTCAGCCTTGTCCAGCACAGCCTACAGCCGGGGGAAAAGCTGAAATGGATCCCCTGGCAGCTCCAAGCAATACTCGGAGATCATGGAGACAAAATCCTCCAAGCCCATGCGCACGGAAGCTCAGCTTCTGGCCTCTGCCATCTACGATGACACGCCGGAGATGGCCCACCTCCGCCTTTCGGTCTCATGGCTACAGCGCATTCACAAGCGGTCTTCAGAAACGCTTGGGCCTTATGTGAAGCAGCCCACCTCAACAATCTTAAGGCCTTTGATAAGAGAGTTGAGCATTTAGCCCTGCCGGACCTTACAGATGCCTCCCTTCGGGGCCCTCCTACAACCCAGGAGCTCCTCGCAGCCGACCGCAAGATATGGAACACCCTTTCCTTGTTGCATCGGGATGGAGTCTCGACGAAGCGCTCTATGACCTTGCCAACCTGCTGCAGCCCCGTCCGAGGCCGCCGCCTACTCCCCCCGGACCCGACCACAGACCTAATCAAAGACCCCGCCTCCCCCGCCCACGAAGCGCCTCCGCCTTTCAGCCCAGGTAGCAGGGTGCCAAAGGCAAGGGGAAAGGCAAAGGCGCCAAGCATACTGACAGCCCCTCTAAGTCCGAAGCCTGGCCAGCCAACTGGGTCCTCAAAGCCAAAGGAAAAGTCCTTTGCAAGCGTTTGCCCACCTGTGCGCCGTGCGTGGCTGTGGCAAAGAACACTGTGCCGTCGACCACGATAAGAAGCCTTCGCGACTAGGGTCCCAGCCGGGGTCCGCGCAACTGCCTCCGCAGCAGACGCAATCGCAGCCTGCTCCCTCTTACCAAGCCAACGTCCCGCAGCCCAGCAGGCACGCGCCAACCGACCCCAGCGCTGCCAACGACCAGCCCACAACCGACCGTCGCAACAACCCTGGGCCGACAGATACATGTGCCTCCGGATATCTGTACACAACAACGGGCTTTCACCGCGTTTGTCCGAGTCGAAATGTGTGCGAGTCTATTGATGATGTCAAGCGACAGCTGCAGCAAGTTATTTGGGACCACACAGGACTGGCTCCACGACTCAATGCTTTCCAGCTGAGACAACGAGGACGTCATCTTTCATATACTGATCCGATTTCGACTTTATCTCCTTTTGGGCCAGTCACATTCGCTCGCACCCGGCCTCATGAGTAGGCAAGCACTGGCCGCTGTGCCAGCAAGATTAGAAAAGGCATTTGGCCACTGACTTTCACTCAGGCAGGTTTTCAGGTTTTCTCTGTCATTGTTTTGACTTTCTTGCAATTTGGCACGTGTGACATATGCATTTGACGTTTGTACAACTTATCAATCAGCTGAGTCAAGGCGGGCTTAACATGCATCACTCCAGTTGTGTGTGTGTGTATGTGCCAGGGCACAGTGTCTTGTGCTAGCGTCGATCGTGCCAATGTTTGGCAGTCCGAGCTCGACACCAGGAAGCCGGACTGTTGGCATGCGCAAGCTTCCTGAACGTCACTTTCGTTTCTCGGCGTTTTGGACGTTTCCTTCCTGTTGTTATTGTTGGGCAAAATGCACAGAGTTCCGATTTTCGGGTAAATAAGGTGCCACTCCACTTCTACGGTTCGGTTCAGTTGGTTCGATTCTTGGAGGGTGTCGCCGAAGACACCTGGAAGCAGGTCGGTTGAGTTTCGTTTTAATGCGTTTACAACTGGATTCTTCGCAAGCCGATGGTATGCACAAAAGTCTGGAGGTCCACTTGGAACAGCAATTGAACGATCCAGGCAACGCAATTGCACCCCCACAGGTGCGCGAACAGACTCGTTCGGTCTTGTTTTCAGGTAAAGGAGTCACGCTGCTAAATGAGCCTTTATGATGACAGGACGCATCGGAGATGAACAAGGAGGAATTCAAGAAGAACCTCATCATTCTAGCTGCTTGCGGTGCAGCTCTGACTGATGCAGCCGTCTGTCTTTATTTCATGAGACGGCTCGCCAAATCGTGACCCGACTGCACGTTTCCACTTTCTGTTTCATGATGTTTCATGCTCATGGAGCGTTGGCGAGCTGTTGCAGTATTGGTGGCCTCACACGTCTTGCACGCTGGTTGCAAAGGCCAGCTACATGCATCTCCGATTCACTCGACTCCGCCGACGGCACACCAATTTGACACAGAAGATCGTAGCGTCGTAGCATTTCCATCCTCCATGTGCTTTGTTTGCTAGATTGAGTTTGCTGTCGCACATTTGGGCTCGAGCAACAAAGCAATCTTCATTGGCCAGCTCTTTCCGATGCAGACTGGCGAGGAAGATGCCGAGGCATCGATGGTAGGACCTGGTAGTGCAGCCTGTATTGACAATTTGCCTGGGTTGTAAGGTTCGGGTTTATGGGTTCAGGGTTGAAGGGTTTCCGAGTGCAGGGTCATTCGGGGCTGAGGGGTTCAGGGTTTCCGTTCTTGCGGTTTCTGGGTTTGGGGTTTAAGGGTTTAGGGTTTCTAGTTTATAGGGGTTGACGCTTTCAGGGTCGATACTTTGAAAGTTTTTGGGTTTGGGGTTTCTGGTCCTACGGTTTGGGGATTTAGGGATTTAGGGTTTGTAGGTTCGCGGTTTAAGGGCATCTACCTGGGTCTACAGTCGAGGGTTTCTGAGTCTAGGGATGTTTAGGATTTTTGGGTTTAGGTTCAGTTTGGGTTTCTGGGTTTGCACTTTCTGGGTGTAGGATTTCGGGGTTCAGGTTTAGGTTCAAGGTTTGGGGTGTGAGGGTTTCCGGATTTGGGGTTTAGGGGTTACTCTCTTCCTCGGACGGAGATTTGCTTGATCGTTTCGGGCATAATCTGAGGTTTCGAGTGGCCCGCAGAGCCCACAACGTAACCCCCAATTCCTGAACGAACAAGCGCCGAAACTCCTCAGATGTAGACAGCATGGGCAGAAGAAGCTGCGACAGCAAACAACAGCACAGGTATAGGCCTGAAGACTTTATGAAACATAGACTAGCAGACTGACTGACAGATGGTAAACATACAGTCAGACACTCCAGAGATTCTCGGGGTTTCAGGCAAATAGGCCTAAAGAATTTGTCAAACAAGCAGTCGGACATTCCGGATAGCCACGCCCATAGCTCCGAAGCCGCAGCACAAAGCCCAACCCCAAATGCCCAGCCACCCCCCATGTGCAGTGTACTATGTACAGTACCACGTCTCGAACACGACAAAACCACAGCCTGGGCTACGCTGAAACTGTCATGGTTAACACGCACCCTCAAATGGTTCCAACAAAGTGACGGTTCGGATTCCTGCCGTCATGAAAAGTTGTGATCGTTCAAGCAAGGGTACAAGAAACACTGCAGCGCGATCAGCTGATTTCTAGGCGTTGAGTTTGAATCTCAGACAGGGGACCATCGCTGCTTCAAAGCTTTCTGCTTTCCTTCAGGGTCACCGACATGTGAAGGCTGTCGATGCAGTGAAATACGACATCGTCTCGTCAAACGACAAAGCGAAGCACAACACCAAGTCGTGCCTGGCTGCATCCATCTGCTTCCTGAGTGTTGCATCACTCATGACAAACAGTGCATCTCCCTTAGTGAGAGAATGTTATTTGGCGCACCTGGGATATCCAGTGTACGGCGACAAGCCAATTGAGCAATTGCTCAGAGGAGTGCTTCAGAGACATGCACTCTGAAGCTGCAGATTTCTTCAATGCCAGTGCAACAACACTGCAATCAAAATTGAACTGTGTGGATTCACAAAAGTTAATTGAAGTACATCGCACAAGCTTGTTCTGGAATGCCTTCTTGCCGAGTGTTGCGAGGCCTCCCCAGAGACGTTCCTGCTGGCCCGAATAGGCTATCCGTGGAGCGCCTTCATAGCTTCGTGGCCTTGTGAATTGTGCTCGCGAACAACATGTGGACCAATTGTGCAGTCTGCAGGCACCTTCCGCTCATGCTTCCCAGCCGCGTTCGGCTGTCCTCGGCAGGTGCTGTTTGCACACCCTGTGTCCAGCCTCAACCTTGTAGAAGGTCAGGCATGAGACTGTGACAGGGTCTTGCTGCGCCAACATCTCGTGGCCAAATCAAGCCACTGCCCAAGTCGTTTATGTTTTGCAGCAGCATGCATGCGAAAACAACTTTTATTTCTTTGTTAGTTTTGCAGGCTGGCAGACTGGTTGACAACTTCAGGGGGAGGTGGACAATACCTTGAGGGTTTGGAGGCTCTTTCTGCCAGGTTGCTGCTGCTACTCTGTTATTCGAAAAGTGCTGGAAATAGTTATTTGAAAAAGTCAGTCAGGCGTTCTCGCACGTCTGGGTCATTTTCCTCTTTGACCAGAACAAGCATAGACCGCTTCTCAGCAGTTTGTTTTGGGCTGCGCTCGACATACAGATGCATTTGAGGCAAAACGTCGTTTGACCCTGCCTGCTCGTTCTTGAAGCTGGTTCCTCAGACTAGTTGTCTCTATCGCGTGCAGCCGTTTACAGATGAGACGCTTTGGGATTTCGGCTCCGCTCCACCGCTCAAAGGTACAGACATGTCATCCACATCACATTCTGCATGCGTCGCATTTTAACCAAAGCTGCACTCGACAAGACATTCTGTGCGTCCATGGCGAACGATGGTGATGAGGGCGACGGCCATGATTCTGACGTGGCAGAAGGGCAGCAGTATTTGGTGCATGTTCGGAACGTTCCGAAAACCTCGAGTTTGTCCGATGTGACCGCGTTGTTTGTCAGAGCCGGCTTCAGCCCGCCGTTCTCGTTCAGGGTGTCTGACTCCATCGTAGCAGTGCAGCTAGATTCACCTGCGGCTGTTGAAGCTGCCATCGCTTTGGATGGAACCATGCTGACGCCTCCACCAGTGGGTAATGTTAAGATTCCTGGACAGCGAGTATCTGTGGTTCACGCACAAGAAGCAGAAGATGTGCTATGAGTACGGCATAGGGTCAGGTGTGGGCTGGCAGACATGCGATACGTGTACAGATGCCATTCCGGACGAAATGGACGGGAGATGTCTTCGCAGAAAAAGCAGCTTTCATCATTCGTTCCTCGAGTTTTGTTTGCCATCGCAGAATGCGGAGGCCAACTGTCCGACCACCATGGTTGGCAGGCCATGCCTTGTCGAACTCTTTGGTTTGCATGCCAGCTCCTTGATGGGTCCTGTGTCTAATGTCTGCCAGAGCAGAAGACTCTGCTGTGGCTGTATGCATTCGGACATTTCGGTCAACAGAAGGCCAACATCAATTCAAGATGGCTGTTGCCGACTCGTGACTGGACCACTTAATGTTGCTTGTCGTCGGCAGTGTGCGCACAGCAGGGGACGATGGTCGCCGAGCGAAGCGAGGTGTTCGGTCCCTAAAGATCTGGGATCTTGTCGTCTTTGATACAGAAGCTGTAGCAGATGCAAAAGCCTGCAAGCGGTGTTCAGGTCTTCGCGACCCGATCTCCACACCGCTCGGGCCAAAGCCACACAGCCTTCCTATCGTTTCGTCTAAGTCGATGTTTCCTAGGTCCAAATCCCGTTGGACTGACCCTGTGTCGGTTGGACTGGATTGACCAGGCCAGATGGACTGCAAGTAAGAAGGCTGGAGGACTGCTTCCGTGACAAAGGTCAATGGCGCAATCTACATCAGTGGTGTTGATGTGGTCAACGGATCAGCAGTGCTCGCCACTCAGACCATCGTCAACTGTACCTGGTTTGCATCGTCGGCCAGTCTTTGTTGAGGGTACATCCTCCACGAGCTAAGGCTGGACATCAAGCCGTACCATCCCGTCGAATCCTTCGGCCGCGACTTGCAATCCAGTGCAAAAGTGGAGACAGAGGTGCATCCTGCATGTCAAAGCCAGAGGCAAAGCACGAGTTGTATATGCGGCACTGTCAAAGCATGTCAAAGCTAGCATTTTGTGTTTCCCACGGATAAAGAGATCTTGCCCTGATCATGTGCTTCTTCCAGGAGTTTTGGACAGTATAGAGTTCATTCATGTGATGCGAGGTGAGTGTATGTGAGTGTGACTTGTAAATGCGGCTGACCGACCCGCAGATCCCACTCACTCAAGCATGGACGGCACGTCCGGTCGGCTCGACTATGAGACGAAGTGGCCAGCTTACGCCTTGGCTTGGTCCGCGCAGGCGAGACCGGAAAATGGTTTCCGCTTGGCAGTGGGAAGCTGTATTGAGAAGGAAATGAACCATATCCAGATCGTGGAAATGAATGAGGAGACGAAGCGCCTCGAATGTGTTGGCGAGGCCGAGCACACGTTTCCACCAACTAAATTATTGTGGCGACCGGAGGCTGCAGGAACCAGTAAGGCTGATTTGCTTGCGTCGTCTACAACAACTTTAAACCTATGGAAGTTTGAAGATGGCCAAGTGAAGTGTGTTGCAAAGCTGGCGAACACGCGCGCACAGAAGCAACCCACGAATCTGCCCCCATTGACATCTTTTGACTGGAGTACCGTCAGTCATCACAAGTTAGGTGCATCGTCTGTCGATACAACGTGCACCATCTGGAATTTGGACAAGATGAAAATTGAGACGCAGCTCATAGCTCACGACAAAGCAGTCTATGACATAGCATTTTCCCAGGTTGACAGCCTGTTTGCCTCGGTCGGAGCAGATGGATCTCTGCGTTTGTTCGACCAAAGAAACCTTGATCATTCAACGATTATCTACGAGGCATCCCCGCCATCACCACTCCTGAGGCTTGCGTGGAATAAGATCAATACGAACTACATTGCAACGATTGCAATGGACGCACCAGGTGTGAACCTAATTGATATACGCAGACCGTCCGTTGCACTGGCAGCTCTTTGTCATCATGATGCTTGTGTAAACTCGATTTCGTGGGCCCCGCACTCCCGCAACCACCTTCTTTGTGGTACAGACGATGGCTATGCAATAGTCTGGGATGTTGCAGAGGCGCTTCCGGCAAAACTTGATTCGCCATTGCTGGCATATGACTGCGACAATGAAGTCTATCAAACACAGTGGGCCACAGCTCAACCGGATCATGTCGCCATCGGCATGGCGCATCAGGTCAGAGTGTTGCAAGTTTGATCCTTTGCTAACTGTCTGCCCAGTACAGACGCGGCGGAGAGCAGCTCGCGAGTATAGGGTGAGCCCTCCAGATTTGCTGCTTAAGTTTCACTGTCTATAGCCAGCCAGCAGACACTTTGAAAGACGTTTAGTCGCTATTTGTACATTATTTCACACGCAGCATCACAATTCGCGAGAGCGGGGAAATTCAATTTGCAACTCTGCTGGGACAGCTCTTGCAGCTTTAACTTCCAGTGACTCCGGCATGAATCAGTCCGAGCACATTTGGAATGTCCTGCCTGATGACACGAGTTCGGACTGAGTGTAGGACAGCGAAGCAACGGCCAGTCTATCAAGACAACAGCTGATGCAGGAGATCCACTTTGCGGACTGGCTACCAAAACCTCAGCCTTGCATCGACATTTCATGGAGCGCGCGGCTGAACTCTGCAATGCTTGTCCTGAATTTACAAATGTACTGGCAAAGGCGATGCGGCACTCACAGAGCTGCATGAATTACAGGAGCACTGCAGGTGGGATGTGACCATTGTTCCTGACCAGTAACCTTGCAACCCATCAGGTTCTATCCAGATGATCGTGACCGTCGTGTCGGCTCCCTACTTGGATCACTTTTGCTGTCTCTCTGGCTGTCTTTGCCCAGACGTGATCTGAAACTCAGTCGAACCTGGAGTTTCCTTCTTCAACTTCTTCGAAGCAAGTGGCTTACCATGCTACAGGCAGTCCTTGCCGGCCGTTTGCTCGAACGTTCTGTGAGTGTTTTGTGATTTTCCTGCATGGGCATAGCGATGCTTGTTATGCAGAACTTTGGCCATTGAGCCCTCGAGATTCTCAGGCTCATCCGGCTTGCCATTGATGAGGCGTTGGGCAGCTGGCTGAGCTTGGATCAAGACCCTAGTGATACGAAGCCCCGGTGCAATGCAAAAACTCGATACGAAGCGAAAAATAGTGGTTATTGAGCGGCAGGGAGACTGCGGACTATGTTCCAGCAGCTCTTGCTGTTTCGGCTGCAGACTTGTATCACGACGGCGCAAGAAGTTTTTTTGGCTCTGTTTGAGGGCGCTTGTTAGTACTAGTACTACGAACATACTACTACTATGACTATGACGACGAGTACTATTGCCAGGTAGTAGGTAGTAACTGCTACTGCTACTACTGGTCTGGGTCGTCATGCTACGGTCGCATAATGGGCTTCCAGCTTTCTGCTCTGGGAGCTTCAGAAAAAGACAAGTGAGGGGAGGGCATGCAATGGCGACGTTCAGATATTGGCCTTTCTTTCCGGATGTGTATGTGTGTGTGTGTGTGTGTGTGTGGTGTGCGTCTCATGTTTGTGCCGACACTGAGGCCTGGATCCAAGGCCGTGCTGCGCTGAGCAACTGCACTCGATTGTGGGGTTGTGGCTGCAGTCATTACCCTACTGCTTTCAAGGCCTCAGTCTCGCAGCCGTCCTCACCAGGGACGTGACGATACAACCCATCTGTATTGGGAACTGCTGGCGGGTGTTTTGCTTTTGCAGAGGGAGGGCCCATTGCGATGCGGTTGGCAAATGACCTTGCGGTCAGGCTTAGCTTACACAGTCTCTTGGCTGCTTTGAAGAACACCACTGGCTGCGCCTCTGTCTCATGACAGGCAATGGACTTCGATGGTGGCCAGCTCATGCAACGGCTGACCGTTGACAGCAACTGTATTTCAAGGTTCTGTTGCTGTGGAGGTCTCAGCATTGCCTTCCGCCTACTGCCAGGTGGCGGCTGTGTTCTTGTCTCGTTTATTTATACCGTGCCTTGCCTGGTGCATCCTGGTGCCTCGATCAATGCCAGGCACGAAGTTTGAGGCCTCTTCGGAGTGACTTGTAGATGAGTAAGTATGCAGCAGCTCTTGAATGCCACATGAAGGTTGTGCAGGTGCGCCGCAGAAGTTTCGATCGCTGCAAGTCGAAGGAATGGCTGAAGGCAGTGGCTTGATGCTGCCGTCATTTTGCAAGAGTGGAGCTTGAGATGCGTGTGCAATCCAAACTTGACATGTACTTTCAGGAGCTACAAGCAAGTCTTGAGGCGAACGGCCACGCTTACGAGCATAGGTCCTTTCGCTTCCATGCTCGGCTCTACGACCTGCGGCCAGGCACCCCAAGATGGGACGCAGCATGCTGTGCTGCAGGAGCAAGAAAGGTGTTGCGCTTGTGATTCTTCCTGTGAGTGAGAGAGTGTGCACCACATGTTGCATGAAACGGGACTCAGAGTTTGTTTGCGTCGCCGTGTGTTCTTGCAGTCTTGTGGCCCTATCATGCCCTATCATGCATCTAATGGAGGCTGCATACACAGGTAGGCCTGTCTCACGGTGAGTTTTCGATCAAGCAAGCCAGTGACAATAATTCAGACCATTCTTGGCATCGCTCGGGCTGTCGCGGCCTGGAGTTCGCTCCTGGCTGTTCGGAAGGCCGGCGGCCACAGCGAACCCGAGAGCAAACTGCGCTTCTTGCCTTTGCACCAGGTGCACGGGATGTTCAAGCCCGCAGCACGGGGCTAAGAGCACGGTGTCTGGTCATGCCTGGGCTGTGTACGGACGAAGGAAGGACTCGCAGCTCGCTATTGGGAACCCCTGAGATCGAGAGCTCCAAGTCTTGGGATGCTGGCAGCCCGTGCCTAGGCTCTGGCACGTGTACCTGCACAATCGCTTCGACATCTGCGAGGGGTGGGTGGAGCAGGAGCAGGTCTGGGCGGTGCTCCAAGGCGGCAAGTCGAGCACTCTTTGTGGAGCGGTTTTCCAGTTTTGGGATGTTCGCGTCGGAGCAGGTCCGAAGCCCTGCCCGACTCCGTCCAGCCTTTCCGACATAGTTGCACATGGCATGCTAGCTTCCAGACAGTTTCACGCACATGGCAGGTGGGGCTTGACTGTCGGATTGGGAACATTGTTGCCTGGTTTAGCACTCATCAAGCACCTCAGCATGCCTCAGACCAGCACGCATTCGGAACTGCCGGCATCACCTGCCCGAGGTGCTTTTATGTCACTGGTGCAGTGGAGGCGGACAAGGGTGTGGAAAAGGAGCCCGGCAAGTCGTAATCTATTTTTCGATGTGAGAGCATAGCAATCACTCGAGCTCAAAAACATGCCCCGTGGCTCGAGTCACGGCAAAAACCGTCGTTTTGTAATTGTCTGCAGCAATTGCCCACTTTTGAAAACATGAAATTTCAGAGCTTTGACTATGGAGCACTCAACAGAACAACCGAGTATGAGATTCGGCGTATCGGCTTGTCTAGGAGGTGAGCCAGCCTGCTCAGTGCAGGAATTGTCCAGAAACAAGAGCCTGCAAGCAAATGGAGTTGCTGCCTCAGACTTCTTTTATTATCACGACCTGATGCAAGCTGCCCAGCCACCTCCGCCAAGGACTCTGAGGATCTGCAGAGAGGTCGCGGTGCAGAATCTCGAAATCGGGGTGCCACCACGGCAACGACGGTGTGAGCGAGAGAAAGGATCCCACCTGCGTGCGATCTCTGCACAAGTTTTCTCATCCTGCGTCGGCTTCCATTTATCCTTTCTCTGCCTTCGTCTCTGTGCGTCTTGCCCAGAGAGCCGCCAATCAAGAACACACCACGGAAGCATTTCCAAGCCACTTGTAGTTTGTCATGATGCAAAGCCTGTTCTGTGCCCACGCATGCATGTACTTGCAGGCCCTTCGGTCATTCAAAGGCTGCGAAAGTGTAGGTCCAAGGGGTACCTCGAACCCTTTCATGCTAGCGGAGCTCGAACCTCGCCCTGCAAGTCCAAGGGGTGCCTCGAACCCTTCATAGTTTAGGAAGGCATACATATACATGTTGGAGGTTCTGGCGCAGCTCGTCGCCTTTGTGACCTTCGGCGCCGGGTTGCCGCCGGCCATCGTCGCCTTCATCGACAATACCGCCGGGCAAGCAGCACTCACCAAGGGCTACGGCAAGGACCCGGCGGTGAATGGGATGATCTCCGCCTTCTGGACGCTCGCGGCGCACCAAGGCTGGTTCGTCGAGTTCGAGCGGGTCCCCTCCAAGGCAAACGTCGCCGACGCAGTATGCAGAGACGACTTTGGTAGGGCGACGGCCGAGGGATGGCACAGAGTTGCCACGCCGACCGACGAGATCCTCTCGATCTTCGCCAGGTCGGCGCAGGACCTTGAGTATGCCACGACGGAGGCGGCGGACCACCTCCTGGAAATTGCCAACGGCTTCCACTTCTGAGCCGGCGCTGGGTGGTGGGTCGGTGCGCTCGGCGGGTGCAGAATGCGCCCCGGCACCGACTCGTCGTTTCAGCCTGTTGCTTCGCCGAACGGCGTGCTACAGCGCTTCTACCACACGACGAAAAAGAAGAGCTGCATTCGTCGTAGTGCTCAGTTTTGGTTCAATGTCGGGCAGAGTGCGACGGTTGTTGTGAAACACACGTGTGTGTGCAGTAACAACCGTGAACGACGGCCGTCGCTAGCACTCTGGCTCGACGAGGTTGAAATTTTACCCACCCTCACCACCCTTTTTCGCGTTTCGGCGGAAGGCGAACGACAGCGGGCCGGGTGCAGAATGCGCCCCGGCACCGACTCGTCGTTTCAGCCTGTTGCTTCATTCGTCGTAGTGCTCAGTTTTGGTTCAACGTCGGGCAGAGTGCGACGGTTGTTCAGGTAGTGGTGAATGTGAAACGTTGCCTCTCAAACAATGTTGGCTCAGGCCTCGACTCTTGCGAGCTTCATTCTTTCAGGGTCTTCTGCTGGTGGGGGCTTGGGTGTGCGGCTCACTGTTCGCGGCCGGCTACTGTGTTGGCTTTGGCCTTCTTTTCTTGATCCTTGTTCGGTATCCTTGTCGCCCTTCTTGTATTCCAGGGCACTTTTCTCTCTCCATCGGCTCGGCAGGCCGTCGAATAGCCCGAAACGGTTTATCCCCGTCCTCGATCCCTCCGGCTTCGGCCCTACTTGCACGAGTGACATTCGTGAGGATTTGGCTGCAGCTGCCAAGTCCCTTGACTCTGCCATTGCTTGTCTGAGCTGGGAGGAGGATACTGGTGAGTGGGAGGTGGTTGCTGTGGAAGGGGCATGTCGGGCGATGCGGGGAAGGTCCTGTTTCTTTCTGAATTTACGCTCGTTGATGAAGTCCCGTGCTTGCGGCAGGCTGTGAAGGTCTGAGAGGACAGTGGCAAGTCATGGCGAGACCTTTTAACTATCTTGAACTCCTTTGCGATGCAAGCTGCATGCATGTGCATGTTGGGCAGCCGATGGAGAAAATGCTCTGCATTGGCATCGGCTCTGCGTTGGTAGCTTAGCCAAATGGGCCAGCCGCGGCCGTGCCGCCGCATTGCTGGAGGCGATTTGAGATGTAGGGGAAAATCCCCAGGCCCTCAAAGGAGTTGGTCGTTTCTCGGGGACAGGATGGCTCCACGGCGAGGAGGTGGCGCTGGCGCGGGTGTTGAAGTTTCCTCAGGCCGTCATGGAATAGAGCGTGTCTCTGCTTCGTGCCCAGCCGTTACTGCCAGGCCTTCGAGGTGGCTTAGCACCACCACCCCTGAAGCGCGTGCAGCCTTGGCTAGAGGCGCATGACGCTCTTGACCGCCTTGTATCGAGCAGCGAGCTAGATCCACATTCATGTAGATGTAGCATCACTGACAAAGGACGGATCTGGGCAATGTGATATAGTGGCCGGCGGTGTGGATGCAAGCGGTGTCTTCAAGGGCATCTACGCGCCTTGCCTTAGACAGTTGTTGCGCACGTGAAGGATTCTGGAGCTTGTACGCGTCATCCAGAAGTCCAGAATCTGCAGTACGTGAAAGGTCAGTGGCGTGCACTTGGCAGCTCTGCACTGCCCTCGATCTCTGCGTAGTAGCCATCGCGCAGCCTTCATCTTTCATGAAGCCAAGGCTTCGCACCTTCCAGTTGTCGAAAGCTTTCCTTCCCGTGGAGACGCCAACGCCAGTGCAAACTCTAGGATTGCAGTCTGCCAACAACTGCCATCGCTTCACTTCAAAGCTTCGCAAGCTCAGACTTTTGCAGGACAATCCCTGCAAGATGGAGTGCCTCTTGTGATTGTCACAAGAGGGTGCTTCGGAAGGGAGATGGACATCGGGTTTTACCCTCGGAGCGATGCACCCGTGCATGCAGCACTGTAGCTACAGCGAGCGAACCGAGGAACGGCCCCACGCGCAACGACATACAAAAGGTTTGCCTCGCCGGCATTCGGTGAGTCATTCGCTCTTGAACTCGTTGTAACATTCCATGACACACTATACCGTACACGTGGAAGGCCGTGTGGGAGGCCGCACGCCGAATGAGAGCAGACATGTCTGACCCTCGGCATAGATACTACTCAAGGATAGTCACCGAATCGTTGTGCAAGCGAGTATGCGGCTGTGAACATGAACTGCAGGATGAAACAAACTGTGCGAATGAAAGTGTGCGATGAAAAAACCGCGCCATTGTCAGCTCGCCAAACTCGGCGATGAGAGATCTGCACATCTGCAGCTCAGAGCACCTGAACAAACAGGCATTAGTTCAGAAGGCCGTGCAGCCCAGACGTCGCACAACACGGATTCAGCAACCACCGCCAACCCGGGAAAAATTGCCTGAATCCCTTCCTGCCGGTGCAGCTGTTGCAGCGGTTTCGAGACCTGCCCATCACAAGCAGTCGTCAACAAAAAAGGTGCAATGCATAATGCTGTTGCTCATGAGAACTGGCTCCTTCTTTCGGACAACAGCTTCTGAAGAAAGAGGCCTGCCATCACTCTGCCCCTTTCGGGGTGCTGTTCACTCCTCCAGTTCACGCCTGCCATGGCCGTAATGAGGCAATTTGGGACTGAACAAGGAAGCAAGTGAAAAGGTTGTGCAGAACGCTCACAGAGCCTGTAGCGGCTTCCACTCCAATCGCAGCAACCTCGGACTAGTGAACGTAGTGGAAAAAGGCCCATATAGGCCCAGGAGGCCAGTCTCTGCACGGTTTGCCCGGGCCGAGGCCACAAGTCGTAGTTACGTGCATCGACGTCCCCATAGATGCAGGCTCCGAGGCTCTCGGCTCAGTCGCTGAAATCTTCCAGCTTTGTCAGCTTGAGCATTGCAGCAAGGTTGTGAATGCTTGCCTGCAACCGCCGCTGAACGAATACCGCGAGCTGCTGTATCATGAGAGCTGCCAGTACTACATGAGCCTTTCCAGTGTATGAATTCCAGAAGTTATGAGCAGGACGGCGCCTGGTTCACACCAGCGGTGTACAATGCGCTCAGCACTTGGGCGAGACATTGCAAGTGGCTGCCAATCGTACATTCCACCATCCCTCGAAGGTCAAAACTTGGCCAGTGGGTTTCCAACAATCCGCGGGAACTGAAGCCGAAAGGAGGACTCGGCTTCCCACACGTTGTCGAAAAGACTGTGTGTGCAGGTCGGAAAAAGATCAGAAGGCTGCAGTACCGTAACAAGTGATCGTCTTTCATTGTCTTGCTGAAGGTAGCCTACCTTGGAGGGATGAGCCATTGCACAATCTGAGGTTTGCATGCACTATCTGTTCTGCTGGCTGGTTACTGGTTGTTTCCTGGTAGGATATGGTGCTGGAAGCAAAATTGCGTGCAGTTTTGGAGCTTACGGGTTTGTGTCTCCGCACAGGACTAGCCTTTTCGCGCAAGAAGTTCGAATGGAACAACAAAGCGTGCCCGATCTCTCGAGGGGCACTGAAGAGCTTCCCTTCCATCTAGTTACAAAGCTAGCCCACTATGGTACCGTGTCAGGCTGCTGGCTTGAATCAGGGTTTGAAGCTTGCTGCCATTGAGGTCCTAGACTTTAATGTTCGGGCCCAGTCAATGAATTCACATTTGAGTCTCCGTGCCCCAGCACTTTTTGGCAACAGGCTGGCTAATTTGGTGGCTTCATGCCTAGACCCCAACTCAAAGGCTATGTGCACCCACTCTCTTGGATGCAAAGACTGCTGCAGTGCCTGTCGCAGAGGTACGAGAATATGTTCTTGCTCGGCTGGAAGTTGGATGCTCAGTGCAGTTCTGAGCATAGCCTTCTGCTTCTTTACCCTGCTTGTTTGCTTGTGACAGGCCTGTCCTGGAACCTTGAAAGGAACCAATGTTGAGCGAAAGCTTTCTGCGGCTCTTCCGAACAAGAAGTGTAGGTAACCACTACATATTGCAAAGCTTGGCATCGTAAATCGTGTATCTTGCTGACTTGTTGAGAGCGCCCTCTCACCTTGATAGACAGCTTGCACGCATTGAAGACAGGGAGAATCAAAAAGTACCATGCCAGCTTTGCATGCTCGTGTCCGAACTATAGTTACAAAAGTTTGAAGATTCCGTAACAAGAAGCCATACACGCTGGTGGCATCATGTTCGGCTCAAGTGCAGAGTGGAGCCACTCTTGGACAGGCTGGTATTTTGATGGCACTCGAGTTCTGCTTGTTTGTCTGCTTCCATGGCAGGCCGTGGGAAGACCGATGCCGAAGTGTTCTGCCTGCATGGTAGAGTTTGTCCAACGTCGCATGCATGTGGCCGTGCCGTGCCGGTAGCGACTAAGGCCAGCAAGTTTCGGCAAATACAATGACCTGAACTTGACCCTGACAGATCTACAAAAGGCACGTGACAACAGACACTCGCACGATCAAGCAACGCCGTTCCTGTTTCGAGGCAGATGGTTGGCACTACCCGTTGACGAAGGAACAGGAGTGGGACAAATACGGCTACGTGGTGCGGGACAGCCGCAATTCCCGTGTACGGTGCGCATGTGTTGTTCCTTGAACCGATCGTTACGGAACAGTACTGTTGCCGACAGCTGTCGACTCGAGGACCAGATCCGCTTCAGCTTGCATGTTCAAGATGGCCTGGTGGACGTTGTGGAGGATTACTTGGAGACCAACAAGAAGGCCCATGTATTCAGATACACGTACACATCCATCATCTATCGATTATCTATGCTATGCACATGTATATTTATAAGTGAATAAATGTATAAATATATGTATGTACGTATGTAAGTAAAGATAAATCACTCTATATACACATATAGTCTTGTATACATATTGATTGCCTTCTGTAGCATGGCCTGGTTGGTTTGGGTCTAGAAGGTTCTATTCTTGAGGCACCACTTGCATGTCGTTGAGCTTCGGCTTAAGCTGTGTTTCTTTTGAGAACCAGCTTTGCAGGTCCTTTGACGGTCTCTCTTTGAGGACTTATGTTGGGGTGTCTGTCGTTATGTCGGAGCAATGGTCTCGCTTAATATCTGGCGACTTTTGGCGGGCTTTGACCTTAGTGGGCGTGGAAAACGCTGCTGACTTGGCATTTCTCTTTACTTCGGAAGATGAGGCCCGGGAGTGGGCCGTTCTACAGCAATGTTCGGGTTCTTCTGACAATTTCGTTGTCGCGTGGACAATCGTGCGGCGGCTTGTTAGGAAGACAGAACTGTTGTGGATAAGGTCTTAGCGGCCGAGCTTGCAAGGCAGCGAGCCACTCCCAAGGCGAGGCCATCGCGACCAACTGCTTCTGCCCCCCCCGCTGGAGCAGGCAGTCAAGAAGAGGCGAGCGGCAGTCACAGACAGTGTTACCGGCTTGGAAGGGGTGCGGGTTCTTGAGTATCAGCCTTCTTCCAGCTGGGGCCTCAATCCCAGTACTTCTCTTGAGCGCGATCGGCTGTGGACACTTTGGGTCCAGTCAGGGGCTTCAAATCTTCGATTTCAGGAGATGCAGCGGTCTGGGGCTCCGATTGCACAGAACTCTGATTGCCATCGGGCTTGGGTGCTGAACAAGTTTGAGAAGTTTACCGACGATCAACTTAAGGTGGGGCCGGTGGGAGTCATGGCGGGCAGCTAGGTGCCCAGAGGTACCGGCTTTCAGGCCAGACGCGATCTCCTTCTTCCACTTCATCGAGCATGTGGCTGGTGGTGGGCCCACAGCGGCGAGATCTGTCTGGCACCAGCTTCAGTTTCTGCGGGACAGGTTGGGCCTCGATCTTCCTCTTGCCGACCTCAAGGAGTTTGTTATGGGCAAGGCCAGGGGCCAGCCAGTGACCCAGGCGAGGGTAGTGGAACCGGCCTTCGCTGTGGGTCCGCTTTACGCACTTTCGCGTTCTGCTGGGCCAGGCAAGGTGCTGCTTCAGGTTATCTTCATGGCTTTGGTATCTTGCATACGTTGGCGCCATCTGCAGCGCTCGTACTTTACCCATGAGGATGGCACTTTGCTTCATGCCCACTGTATTCAGGGCAAGCGCCGGGTTCAGGGCGTTCGTCCGCCCTACTCTTGGACGGCTCCGCTTCTCTCTGGGTTGTGCTCTGGTCTGCCCGGGATAGATGCTTCTCCCGACTGGGCTCGAGGATTACAAGATTGATTTTCTGAGCTGGCGCCTAGGGTGCCGCCGGGTCGCCCTCCTTTCTTGGTGCCAAGGATTCAGCGGTCTGATGAAGGCCTTTGGGCTCTGGGATCCGTGGTTTGTCAGCCGATGGGGTTTCGAGCATTTACTGAGGCCTTTCGGGGCGTGCTTGTGCAGTTTGGTGAGGGCTCGGATGCAGAGTCATTCACTTTCAACTCTCTTCGCCGCTTCATGGCCACGCTGGCTAACTTCTTGCATCTTGATCCTCAGCAAGCCCAAGCGATAGGCCATTGGCAGGAGATTCCTCAGGGAGCCCAGGCAGCCGGTGGAGGCGCACTTTTTTCCATGCGTGCTATGTTTCCGATGTCCGAAAGGTATTCTGGAGTTAGGCATCAGCTGGTAGGGTATCTTTTTCGACATGGTGCGACGGGCCATGCCCAATCCTGTTTCTACACGTTGGTTGGCACAGTAGCGTTCTTACCTGGGCTATGTTGGAACGTGTGCGGCCTTCGGCCGATGAGGTATCTGAACTCTTGCGTGGTCTGGGCCCACTTGCAGAGCCAGGACTTCAGGACACGCCATGGTTCAGCGCAGAGGTCTTCGCGCACTTGTTGGATCCCCTCGAAGAGTTGCCTCGGCCGAGAGCGAGTAGAGCTCGCGGACGAGGCGGTAATCATCGGCATGCCCCCTCTCGGCGGGCTGAGCGGGCGGCTGCTGGCTCGTCTGGTGCTGTGCCTCAGCCTAGCCAGCCTACTGCAGCAGTTGCTTCGAAGCAGGCGGTCGAGGATGATCAGTCTTCTTCAGATTCGTCCATCTCGTCTGAGGAAGGGTGCCAGAAGGGCAGTCGTCTTTGCCTAACCACTTGATGGTTGCCGATCTGCGCTGGTTCGTGACTAGACGCAGTCGCATCTGCCATATCGTTCAGGAGGAAGCTGGGGGATTTCTCGTGCCCTGGTGTCGTAGCTCTCCCTTTGGAGGGTCGCCGGCCGAGGAAGGAGTCAACCCTTGCAGTCAGGTTCTTCCTGTGTGTCTCGGATGTCAGAGACGCATGCCTGCCGACGCCAGGGAGGCCATCCGCTTGGGCATGGACGACAGGCCTATATCTTCACCTTCTCCCGAGTCCGACCTGGATTGATGGAGTTCCCGGGTGCTCAAAATAGGTCAGGAAGCAGGTGTGCCCTGTGATTGTGCAGTCTTTGTAAGCTGCTCGCGGGTTGTGTCTGTCTGCCTGCACCATGAGCTAGGGTTGCATTTCAGCTTGGAGTCAGCCTTGCTGTTCCGCTGGGTGTCCTGCGCGCTGCTTTAGGCTTTCAGTTTCCTTTGGTTTTCCTCTGCCAAGCTTCTCGTTAGGGCCATGCACGTAGCTGCGCTTTCCCCTTCGGAGTTGGCAGCTTGGGTGGCTAGCCTTTCGGTGGACGTTCGGCAGAGGTTGCTTACGGCTCTTTTGTCTTTCGAGGCCGCCTCTTCTACGACCACTACGCCGACGGCTTCTTCGTTTCCTCCGCCACCTCCAGCCGGTCAGGACCGCAGGGTTCGTCGCTGCGCCGAGCCGTGCCCCAATGTTGGGGTGGGTCTTCCTTTCTGTCGTGGGGTTTGTGGTCGCAAGCCCAAGCGTCGCAGAAGGAGGCCCCACCGTTTTTGTCGGCCTTGTCATGATCATGGTTATGGGGCTTCTTCGGATTCTGATGAGTTGGGCCCCCCGACATTTTGGATAAAGTCGGCCGTTGAGGGCAACGTGGGCCTCTTTGCGGTGCTATGAACATGCTTCGATACTTGCAGACCTGAGAGTTGGCTAGCTTTCTTAGGTCGGAGCGGCAGAGTGCGAACCCATCCGAGCACACACAAAGACAGGATGCGTTTCATGTAGCACTCTTCGTCGTCTCGCTGAGGGCTGTTGCCAGGCTGTCATGGCCGTGCCGAGTGCTGCAGTCTGCAGTTCTGCCGACAGCGGTATGCTCGCATGTTTCATGTGTCAGCTTTTGCTCAGTTGTTCCCTCTCCCTGGGGTTGCCGTTCAGGGTCGAGGGCCATGGCTTCTTCTGCTGCCCCCATCATCCAGACTCATGCTGCAGATGGGGGGCTTACCTCCTGCTTTGCTCGGGTTAAACCCGAACTGGTCACCTACATGAAGGATGTTCTCAAGATGGAATCGCTCCAGGACTTCTTCTTCTACGTGGCCAAGGATGCCTGGGAGGCTGAGCTGGATGTTAAGGTGGTGAAGCCTGCCGTCGATGCCAGCGGCTCTGCCAGCGTCATCACTGAGGCCATGAAACCTATCCAGCTGGCTCGGGTTCGCATGGCCTGGCAGTCGGCGGCTAAGGTCCAGAACGTCGCCGAGGCGTCGCTCACTTCGGCAGGATCGGCGGACGATCCACTACCTGAGACGGCGAGGCAGCTCTTGGATCAGAGGTGGAAGAAGCGGTACCCTGAGTTCGCCATAGATCCTGCTTTGATGGGGGCCTCTGCGATTATCCATCGTCTCTATCGAGAGTGGGTCCAGGGTCAGCCGACGACGGTAGTGGACCTCCAGAAAAGATGCGCACGGCGCTTGCAGAGCGCTTCCAGGGTGACAAGCTCCAGATTGTTTTGGGCGATGCGACCTTGACTGTCACGGATTACGCTGCCACCACATCCAGAGTGCACTTCAGGAGTGTGTCGCATTTCTACCTTTTGCATCGGACTTTGACTAACTGCTGGGCTTACGTGGGTACTGCTGAGGTCGAGTCCAAGAATCATCCGGGCACCCAGGTTCTCATGATGTCCTTCCAGCAGGCCTTGGGTTACTCGGACACCATCCTTCGGAAGGCCGTCGACGTTCCGGAGTCCGCTCAGCTCAGCTTGGCTGGTTCGCAACGATGGGCTGACTCGATCTCGTATGGCAGCTCATCAGATGCTCCGCCGACTTGCGTGGGCCCTCGCATGCTCCGTTGGACAATCTCGGCAGGGAGGTTGGCACAAAGCGCATTGCAGAAGCTCCTGGCGCTCACGATGCAGGCGAGCGCCCGCCTAAGAAGGCAGCTCCACCGGGTGGCTCCCCGGCGAAGGATGTGCGGTCGCCAGCAGACGGTGACGACACTCAAGGGGAACAAGGTTCTGTGCAAAGGATGGAACGATGATCGATGCTGTCAGCGAGCCAGAGCGGGCGAGCAATGTCCCGATGGATGGCACCTTTGCGATCGCAAGCTCGCTTCAGGAAGAGGCTGTGGGGGCAAGCACCGGCGCGGCCAATGCACTGAGCCCTGATCTCTTCCCACCGCTGGGGCAGAGGCCAGCAAGGCTGCACTGGCTTCTGTGTGCGATGCAGCTACGTCCCTGGATGCTCGACCTGCTTTGACTCGGTCTGTTCAGGCAGATGGGAAGGCTGGTCCGGACACTCGTGTACAGGGTGAGATTCCTCGACGAGTCATCCGTACGGGGGCTCTGTTGTAAAAAGGCAGCAACCAGCTTCGTTCACTTTTTGCAAGCCTTCTGATGTCCATGCTAGGCTTGAGGCTTCCAAGCCCATAGCTTGGCGGGGTCGGGGTGAGATGCCTTCCTTTGTTTGGTCTTCTTTGGGCACGTGGTTAGTCATTGACCTGTGGAGCGGCATTGGTACTCTCTTCGGTTGCTTATCCCTGGGGCTGCGAGTGTATGCTGTCTCTGTCGAGCAGGATGCAACGGCGGCAGCGCGGACGGCCCAGAGCTTCCCCAACGTGATTTCGTTGCAGTATGTTGAGGAGATTCAAGGGGTGATGGTTCGGGAATTTTTGCGACGCCGCACGGTGGAAGGCGTGATAATTGGAGGTGGCAGTCCTCGTCAAGGAAACTCCAGTTTGAATCTCCGCCGGCGCGGTTTGGAAGATCCCTGCTCTCGTCAACCCGAGGAGCTGGCTCGAATCCGCGACGAGATCATGAACTTAGAGGAGGCTCGTGGGCTTCGGGTGCTTACTTTCTTGGAGAATGTCGCTAGTAGCCCTCGTGATGTCCTTCGTCGTTACAATCAGCTGCTGTCTGCGAAGCCCATACTTGTGAAAGCTGCCCAGTTTGGCTGGGTCCAACGTGATCGTTTGTTTTGGCTGGGTTCATTTGAGGATTTCTCTCAGTTCTCTTTGCCGTCGGAAGTGAAGCTGTCCGAGACTGATCGATGCTGGGCTCTGGATGTATCAATGACCAAGCCGGTTCCCCCTACCGTCAACCTGGAGCGAGGTTTTGCACTCCACATCGATCCCAAAGCCAACCTGACGAATGCAGCTTTGCCCCGGTTGTTCACTTTCACTACAGAATTTTCTCACCCGCTGGACGAGGGTCATGCAGCTTCAGCTCAGGCCACCTCTCGATTTCAGGAGGACGCTCGACGGTTTCCGGTGGAAGCGTATGAGGACATTTCCTTAGCATGGCGCCAGGGTGAATGGCGCACACTTACGCCATCAGAGCGCGCCTCCATTCACTGCTTGCCGCCCGACGCAATCAGTAGCAGCACTCTTCAGTATCTACCTGAAGAGCGTCGTACTCAGATCCGGAATTCTTGGGTGGGCAACGGGTTTCACATTCCCAGCATTGTGCTCATCCTGCTGCTTTTGGTGCCTGATGTTCGTGCGGTGCCGGTTCCTCTTCAGTTTGTCTTTGAACAGCACCTGCGAGAGTCGGTGCCCGGATCCCCCTTTGATGACGCCATCTTACGAGTTTTTCCGGGGCAGCGCACAGTTGACCAAATCACCGATGATGTGCAGGCGATCCTGGCGAGCTACCCCGGGTCTCCCGCCGCGCCTTGGCACAAGGTCCGGAAGCGTTTGCAAGGGCATGCTATTCACTCTCTCGTCTCGTTCAAGCTCTTCCTTTGGCATCGTGGGCTGAACGAGTCTACCGAGGGTCCTTCTTGGGTAGGCCAACGTAACAGGGCTTTGCTGCAAGCCTCCGTTGGGAGGCAGCGAGCCGCGGGGGATTCCAAGAAGGGCCTAGATCACCTGTTACCACCGGGGCTTAGCAAGCTCGAGCATATTCAGTCGGCTCTCTCATTGCACTCCCCATTTGGAGTCAGCAACGCAGTGGACCCCGGTATGGAGTTTGCGGCTTGGGCTCTGGGTGTATGGGGGCCCATCCTACCTCGGTGGCAGGAGTCGGTACGAAAATGCATCCATCGCCTGGTCAAAGCCTTTCAGCCTGTCGAGGATTTCTTGATGCAGTCGTCTCCAGTGTCGGGGCTCACAACACGACCTCCTTTAGCACTGGCTGTGTTCACGGTTCTTCTTGACTGGCCTGATGTTACGCAGCCCCTCCGGTACCTTACTGGGTTCAAGGCCGTGGGCACGATCGAACACACAGGTCTCTTCCGTGAAATTCCACGTACACAACATGTGGCAGAAGAGGAGTTCCTGGGCCATGCTGCCCAGGAGTTCATTCAGGAGCTCATCTACCGGACTCCTTCGGCGGATGCTTCAGCCATCTGGGAGCTCACGGAAGAGGAGTGCCAGAAAGGCTGGTGCACAGGGCCTTTCTCGGTAGCCCAGCTTGATCAAAGATTCGGACAAGGTAACTGGCGACCGGTTCCAAGGTTTCTCATCACTCAAGCTACGGGTAAGCAACGCCTCATTGATGACGCCAAGCAGGGCTCCCACAACTTAGCAACCGACATGGAGGAGACCATTTACACCATCGGCGTCGATAGCCTCCCCGTCTACGTGCGGAAGTTGGCCGAGGTGGTCCTTCATTTTGGGGTGTATCTGCCTGATTGGTTCCTCCCTACGGCTTGCATAATGGACCTCCCTGAAGCTTATCGTGGATGCCCTGTAGAGCCTGGACAGCGTGGTTTGACAGTAGCTGCAACCTTTGACCCCGTTAAGCGAAGGTGGTGCTTTTGGGTTTACACTGGATTGCTCTACGGTTTAGCGTCTGAAGTCCTTTCCTTCAATCGTCTACCCACTTTGTTGGTAGCGGTTGTTAGGCGGCTGCTCGCGGTGGCATGTGGGGCGTATTTCGATGATCTGTTTGACATTGCTGTGCGATCCACGGCTCTAGCTAGTCAAGCCGCGCTACTTCACATGCTGTCGTTGGCTGGGGCTCCACCTGCCCCGGATAAGACTCAGCCTCCGAGGCCTTCGTTCGGATACTTAGGTGCGGCTTTCGACTTTTCGTCTATCTTCGATGACGGCATCATTACATGCGGGCCCACCAACGCATCCATTCAGAAGCTCACAAATACGGTTGAGTCTGCCATTGAAGCAAATCAGCTCTCCCCGGCGCAGGCTTCCAAGCTCCGTGGACAAGCAGGGTGGACTGGCTCGCTGCTTCACGGCAAGTGCGGCCGCTTGGCTCTCAGGTTTCTTAAGCAGCGCCAGTACTCCAAGGATGGGGATCGCACTCTCTCGCATGAACAAGTTCGGGAACTCCGTTTGTTGCTCAAGATCGCCAGAGAAGCACCCATCAGACATGTCGACATTTTGAAGCCTCCCCAAAAGCCTGTGATCATTTATTCAGATGCCAGCTTTGAGAGAGGGGTGGCCAAGTGCGGCTGGGTTGTGTTTCCGCCACAGGGACCAACCGTAGGCCAGGCAGTCACGGTTCCACCAGAATGGATCAGACATCTGGACTTTACAACAGGGTTGGGAACTCTCCGCAGCCCATCTTCCCTGTCCAGCCCTTCACGAAACATTGGGAACTTTGGGACTCGCTTTCGATGTTCATTAGTCGTTTTGCACTCGAGGTGCAAACAACGGGCATCGATTGTTGCCAATGTACACCATAGGTGTGCCATTGTGCTGCAGAGTTTCGTTCTCCCAGCCATAGAAAAAGATCGTGCGTGCAGTGCTGTGTGCCGTAGAGAATTGATTGCCTTCTGTAGCATGGCCTGGTTGGTTTGGGTCTGGAAGGTTCTATTCTTGAGGCACCACTTGCATGTCGTTGAGCTTCGGCTTAAGCTGTGTTTCTTTTGAGAACCAGCTTTGCAGGTCCTTTGACCCACCCTGCCCACCCTTAGTCTTCTATGTCAGGGATGTGGCTGTACTCATCGGGCTTCTGCCTGCTTTGAGTCCACTGGGCTTACATGGAAGTGTCGCCCAGGCGCTTGTCCGTGCCCGTGGGTTGCGGGTTACCGTCCTCGGGGCGGGACTCGCTTTCGATGTTCATTAGTCGTTTTGCACTCGAGGCGCCAAAAACGGGCATCGATTGTTGCCAATGTACACCATAGGTGTGCCATTGTGCTGCAGAGTTTCGTTCTCCCAGCCATAGAAAAAGATCGTGCATGCAGTGCTGTGTGCCGTAGAGAATATATATATATATATATATACACGTTTTTATACCTCTGTCTCTCTCGCTCTCTCTCTCTCTCTCTCTCTCTCTCTCTCTCTCTCTCTCTTTCTCTCTCTCTCTCTCTCTCTCTCTCTCTCTCTCTCTCTCTCTCTCTCTCTCTCTCTCTCTCTCTCTCTCTCTCTCTCTCTCTCTCTCTCTCTCTCTCTCTCTCTCTCTTTCTCTCTCTGTGGTGTTAAATGACACGATCCCAATGTCGCACCTTAATGTCATGCTGCATTTCTGAATGCTAAAATGCCGGATGGCATTGGCTCAAGACTAGACCAAGGCTTGACGTCACAAAGGAATGTCTGCTTGAGTGTGACCGGGGAAAGTGATTGATCTTGGTGTCCCGGTAATCCTAGATTGCACTGTTGAATTTTTCATGGTAGCGGAGCTTCGGCTCTGGAATCAGGGACTGAGACAGAATGGGGTGTGGAACCATGGAACCAGAGGGATTGGCGGAGAGATCAAACTGTTCCGCCACCAGTGTACCACGGAGTCACGGAGAGCTTGAGAAATGGGAAGACTGGTCGTGGCAGGTGAAGCGATATGTAAGACTGTACAAACCATTGGCAAAACTGCTAGTGGACGATGTGGAAGGATCGAATGTTGCCATCGCTGACGATCTGTGTGAGGCTTGCTTGCAATGTGCAGCAGAATCGCACCCAGAATGATCAGCTTTCACTGTTCTCTATTGGCGTATATGTTGGCGCAAATCACTGATGGCGCAGCGCGAGCGATTGTGCGCAATGAAGACACAGAGAATGGGTTTGAGATCCGGAGGCGAGTGCATAGTCAGTTCTCACTGCCGGAAAGAGCACGATCTACTAATCTCCTGAATGAGATCATTGGTTTCCGAGTGAGAAGTGATAATTTTGAGACTGATCTGAGTGAGTTCATTATACTGAAAAACAGACATGAGAAGACGACTGGAAGACCGCTTGACAATGATCTGCTTGTCACGTTGCTAATGCAGAAGACTGTTGGTCCTTTGCAACAGCATCTGAGGTTGAATGTTCGGAATATCAACACGTTCAATGAAGCACTGGAGATTATCTACAGTTACATCAA